GTTCGTTGCGTCCAGAGCATCTTGACAGTAACATTAACTTGATTTTCCCAAATTGCGCTACTTAATATAGAAATATGTTGCTACACTACAAAACTCTCGCAAGCAAGAGGGGACATTGAGACATATGTCTGTTTAATAATTCTTAATCTGTTTTATGAGAGTGCTTATAGTCCGTTCCCCCTACACATGCTGATATTACAGCTATTTTTGGAACGCCTATTTTTAGTGGCCCCACCTCGTGAAGAAGTCACAATTGTCTTATGTGAACTGTGACAAGATTGATACCGTACGCTTACAAAATTAAATACGACTGAAAATATTCATTCTATCACGCTTTTATAAGGTAGTTTAATCGTTACATATTATTAAACTATCACAGTATATCAATTTTTATCTATGACTTTTTTTCATTTGGAATTTTCACCTGTATTAAGAATAAATTTAGGTTTCCATAAAATTTGATATAACAAAAATAGAGTTGCTAAATATTCATATCTCAAATAGTTACTTGTAACAATCTCGTTAGATTACATAGACAATATGATATTGTTTTAAAGTGAAATATAAACCACATGAATAACCATTTTTATGGGCTTTAATAAGTAGAGACGCGCAACTTCTGCTAGTGTGAATGTTTAGCTCGTCGAGTTATGTACAACGGCACATAGAGACCGAAGATTCATCATCGTCGTCATCATTTCATTAATCGAATGTTCGAATTTTGAAAACTATTATAGACAATAGTCTTGTTAAACTTGATCACTTTATGACTGTTCTACCTCTTAGTTTTCTGAAAAATTACTATAAAAAAACATCATCATTTCAATCAACTGCAGAACTTAGGCCTCCCCACAAACCGCCACGAAGTACCATCCCGGGCCACCTGCATCCATCCATGTCAATCCATCTAGTGGGGGATCGTCCTCCACTACGATGGCCTATACGAGGCTGCTCGAGAACCTTTCTTCCCCTTGCTTATGGGTTCTTACAGCTATGTGACCAGAGACTGCTGGAAAAGTATTGATACAATTTAATTTCGGGTGGAATAATCAGAGCTCATTGTTTAAATGGACGGCATAGCAATGGGTGGCGGTGATCAAATAAAATCTGGTTACCCGCATGCTCGTTTTTTTTTAAGAAAAAGGAGATGTTCATTCGTCTCCGTCTTTTATAGAAAAGACACTAAGTATCGCTCTCGCTTTGTTTAGTTAATGAATTTAGTTTACACCAACAACAACTGGCTCGACTTATCGTAGGTCAACATATGTACGCCATGTTTGACGTTTACGCGAATGTTGACAAACATCGGAACGCGCCTCTTTGACTATCTTGAAAGACTAGGATCTAAGATGAAATCTAATATATCAATAGATATAATTATATTAATTTATTTCAAACAAGAGTAAGTTTAGAATAAATAATATAGTTCATAGTAAAAAAACAAAGTGAGGTATAGTCCCGTTTTGTTGTCCTATAAAATACAATTCTTGGCCCTTGGGAGAAAACTAAACGAATATGATCTATTTATATGTAACCTATTAGGGACATTACTTAAATTATAATTATAGCATATGTATCAATGTCTCTTAGTACTTAGCAAACCTGACAAACTAAAAATAACATCGAAATAATATGTTTTTATTATTATTTCGAAAATATTTAAGTGAATGTGAGGAATCACATTAAAACATGTAGAAAAATTTAAACATGCAGAGATTAGCACTATAAAAAACTTTAAAATTTCCTCACGACGTTTTCTGCACGTGAGTACTAATGAACACAGCACTTAAAGTGCAATAAAAAACTTCTTAGGCGCCGGCAACGGGATTCGAACTCAGGTTATTGACAACATAACTATTTAATTAAAAGCGAACGCCCGGACTCATGTTATCACGACTCTCACGCTAAATTCTTTTAAAATTAATATAAAAATTATATTTTATCTGTCTCTACTTTCAATTTGTAAAATATCAAAGGCAGAATGTCTTTACATCTTCTTTAATTGTTCTTTAATTTAACTTTTTTGTTTTTTTTTCTCACACATCGTTTTAAGCTCTTGTGTTGTTTATTTAACGCATTGTGGTTTGCAGTTTGCACCTATTATTGAGATGGCACTGTCAATTGTAAATTGTCTAAATTTAGTTTTCATCTTGTTGTGTAACAAAAATAAATAAATAAATCTGTGTCGTTTCTTTTTAAACATATTATAAATATAATATTTTATAAATTTTAACAGTGAAACACAAGTAAGTAATTTCAGCATAGCAACGTACTCGGGAAAACTTTTCTGAACGTGCCTCAATTCGACCCAGCCCAAGAAGGGTAAATATCGTTACGATAAAGCGATATGGTACCTCTAATTTACGACCATAAAAGAACATATGGAGCTTACTATCGATCTCATAATACAACGCCATGTATATGTATATGATCTGCTCAGATATTCTAAAATTAGTATGTAACAGCAATTAAAAGATGGTTTTAGCACTACCTAACATTGAATTCGTTTATCTGCGAAGTTCGATCATAAACCACGTATAATAATCAATATTCCACTTGAGAAGTGAATGAAAAAAAAGTTTAATAACTATAATGTTTTAAAAATTAGTCATGTCCTAATTTCAGTTTCTTAGTGCAAATTTTAGATGCTATCCTTTTATTAAACGTGCAACTTTTTCAACTCTAACGAGATAAAAAAAACGAATGTGTATCTACTTACGTTCGCACGGCCGAAGTCATATTTCTTTAGCGTCACAAGGGAAAAATAACTAAAGATTACCAAATTAGTCGAAGTTGGTCGCTTTGCAACACATCACGTCGCTTTTTGACTGTTGGTATGTGCTCGCATCTAAAAATTTTACTCTCATAATGTTTTCAAAACGCGCGAAATGAATTATAACTTGATATCAGATTGTAGTTAATAGGAATAGTATATCAATGAATCTATTTATTAATACGTGAAGCAAAAACTTTGTACCTATGTTTAAGAAAATCGCGCGAACGGAGAAGTATGATATTTTCCACGCTTATTGTTCATATAGGGAAGGAATACAGAATGCATTTCTTTCAAATTACATTAAATTAATAAAAAAAGTGTGTGCGTGTAACCTTTACGCGCGATTGAAATAAAACTTCTTTGGCGTTGACGGCATATATCACTGAAATGATTAAATATTTAGTAACGTCATAAGTATATGTCATATTTTAAAAATATGACATATACGTATGACGTTACTTCCGTCAGAAAAAATCTGAGTTACTCCCTAGTCGCGCCTAAAGAAGTTTTACTTCAAAAACAATACAGACTCTACCATGTTTAATTAATTATTGTCGAATTTCGACCACTGGGCAACCACTAGTATTCATAATACCGTAAAATAATGCAATTGGCATGAATTAAATAAGACTGTTCCGTAGCGTTTTACGTAACATGTACTTATCTGTCTCATATCTCTAAATGATCCTAGATTGTGTATCAAGATGCGCTTGTATGACGTTAATTCGCATTCGAATTACCTAACTATTAACGTTACATCTTCCGCGGTATAATTTCAGTTTGAGAAAAGGAGGAAGACTGAAAAAAACAATATTTGTATCGTATACCGTAGCAAATAAAATTCGATATGCAAATTTCACAATCTTATCCATTGTCATTTAAGAGTAGACAGCTAAGTATAAATCGAGATATTAAATATAATTATTACAAGGACTCCGGCGCGTTATTGTTTTAAATCTGTTCGGAAATTATTGAATTCAACAGAGCGAAATCCGTAGATTTTTAAGGAATCGCATGAATTCAAGAAATAATTATTTTAAATATGATTAATTGTTGCCCCCGTTAAATAGATAACGGGGGCAACCATTCGAAGAACATTTAAAGCTTTATTGATAGCAAAAGCTCTAGACAAATTTGTTTCTTTACTCGGAACCTAAAATTTTTTACTTGCTTGCTTTACCCTTAAAATAATATGCTAAAACTTTTTATATAATTAAAACTAAAATACCGTAAAGGTCTAGTAATATCATCCCCGAGACAATTCTAAATTTAGAATCTAAAGCTTACTGTAGGAAAATATTTTCCAGTGTTATAAGGATGTTTTACATTCATAAATTTCACGTGGACAAACACCCAGGTCCTGAGCAATTATCTGTGGGTCACACAGATAGTTGTCCGGTTTGGGAATCGAACCCACGAACCACGGCGCAGAAGCCAATACCTTGGCAACTGCCACACATGGCAAACGCCACAGACTCATTCATATTAATATATAGCCGTTTGTGCCTGTGATTTATCGGTAACTTTGAGATACATCTGATTGAAAATATACACGATATTTGCAAGTAAAAACAAGATGGTTTAAAGCTTTGCTGGTATAGCGCCATCTATTGGAGAGAGTAAAACACTGGCGATCGGAACAGAGTCTTTGTTGGTATAATTTAAGTAAGTTGTGTTGTATGTCTGTAGGTCGTGAATTTAAGGAGGACTTCATTAATAGAGAACATATTGGTTTATTAATTAGTTAAGGTGCAGTACCATAACGAATAGGGTCGAAGGACGCCTTGCGGTCCTATTATTTCTTATTTCTCATCCTTTGGCTTCTTCGTCAGCTTCTGAGCAATTTGTCTCTTAACTTCTTGACTGAAGATAGAAGGTACTATAACTAAAATTTGACGAAAAATATTACGAAAAGATTTTAACGCTGTGGAAATCAAACAAATGGCTTCCGGAATCGTGCCCAGATGCTTCAACCAATAAGCTGAACGGCTGATTGCCACACCGACAAAAATCACAACGAATTCTATCTACATTGTTTTTCCACATTTAAAGCAATGCTTGACGCATCATTGTAATGTCGTTAAGAGCCAAAAACAATTTCAAAAAACTTTTAACAAAGATTAAGAATAAGAAAAAGATATTATTTAAATTCGAACGAGAGATATCGCCTCTGCTATAATAGAATGTACTAGTTAAATATCCTAAAGTAATTTGTCCGTTTCAGCGAACATCGCGATCGCCTCAACTGGGTATTCCATGGGATGGACCTCTCCGATAAACATAAAGCTCCAAGACCAGAACTTGACCGACTCCCCCCTCCCCGCGCCCCTGGACACCGACGAATCCGCCTGGGTGGGCTCCCTGCTTCCAGTGGGAGCGATTTTCGGTAAGTCATTTGTAAATTAAGAACTGTGGTAGGGCCACGCAGCAGTCTACGCTCCGGAAGTAAAAGACGACCTCGCAGCAGACCGAAAATAAAATGACAAAAGAAGAGGATACCCACGGAGTTTCTTCTCTGTTAAAGGAAACGAAATGAGATGGTGGTAGATTTAAAGAAAAAAACAATGACTATCGATAGATGAAATACGTATTTCTTTTGTACATTAATAAAATTGCTTTTGACTGGAGTGAAGTGCAAGCGTTACAATTCTGCGTTTCGGCTGGTAAGGGAGGTGACCGGAGCCCACTTTATTAATAAGTGGCAACGCATCCCTAAACCTTCGAATGTTGCAAATGTCCATGGGCAGCGGTTATCACTTGACTCTTGCCATCGTTTCATATAAAAAATAGAAAAGAAAATTCATCACTATCATTGATACTTACCCCGTTATCTAAGGCAAGCCAAGAATCTGTTGATACGAGTAATGAATTGATAAATGAATGAATCACAAATAAATTAATGATTAATTCATTTATCAACTCTCATCTTCGATAGATGACTTAGGAACAAGACGCGGAGGAGGTTTTAATCGATCTATGTAAAGCCTATTCCGTTGTTTTTTGTAATCTTGTTAACACAATGAGGGTGGCATAATCTGTAAAGATTCAACCCTTTTTAGAAATAAAAACAAAAAAAATCTACGATAGATAAGTAGAGAGATTGATCGACTGTACCGAGGTTTTAAGGGGTATTTATTTTTTTGCGTTTCGACATAATTTTTGTAGCTCCACACGGCCGCCTTTAGCTAGGGGGGGGGGGGGGGCATTGTAGGGCAATGCCCTACCTTAAAATCACAATGCCCTACCTTAAAAATACGAAAATAAAAGTGCGTAAATATGACCACGTTTTTCAGTTTCGTACACGTCTCAAGTGATTTCCCATCCTACTTCGCCGGAATTTGTATATTCTTTCTATGTTGTACCTACTGTGTTCCATTTCATGTTTCTACTCCACTTTATTTAAAGGAGAAATTTGAATTTGTAGGGCTTCTAGGGGAAGATCCTACGAAGGAAGTTCATTTTAAAGGTGCCAAACCACAAAACGTAAATTTTTATATACTATACTATTGCACAACCTACGTAGTAAAGTTCCTTTACGCCATTGATTGCCTGGAAGAGATTGCTATGAAATGATACGGCCGCCAAATTGTGAATTCCATTAATTTACTTGTCTATTGTTAATTTTGTGTATCCTCTTTTGTGTGGTGGACAATAAAGTATTCATTCATTTATTCATTCAAAAACTAAGATACATTATTGTAATAAAAATTGTAGCGATAGGTATCTCAACTTTTCCGAACATACGACAGTTTGTCAAAATCAAAATAATTTATTTATGGACTTAGGAAACATACATTTCATCTATCGATAGTATTTTTTTTTAATCTACCACCGTTTCATCATGAGGTTTCTCTAACGGAGAAGAAACAGGCGAAAGAAACTCCGCAGGTATCCTGTTATTCGTAATTTTTTTCTTAAAAAATTAAAATATACAACCGTTTTTTTTCTTTCTTTTAGAAATAGCTTGGATCGACTCATTACCAGTGTGTGACATTCATTTCATATTCTAATAATTCTTTGTTCTGTGTACTCGTATAAAAAAAGTACCTGGAGGACCGAGCTTTGCTCATTTTTTTTGGTAAATAACGTATTTTGGAAATAAGAAAAATAAAGCAAGCAATGCTGATCATTGAATAGAATAGTGTAGAAAAAAAGTAAAAAAAATAAGTGTGTGATCGTGATACGAACCGCGGCTCGCTTGTACAAGTTGCAAATAGTACAAAATAAGTTCATCCGCCGCGCAACCGGTGAGCAGGGGTATCAACGCAACGTCGACCTGCACAGCGATTGCAGACTCCCGACGATTCGCGAATATTTTAAAGAGCTGACCAAACGGTTCTTCGATAGAGCCGAACATCATCCCAACCCTCTGGTGGTAAGCGCAGCAAATTACCAACCCGACACAAACGCGAACGTCAACAAGCGTCGCCCGCGAAACGTCCTCATCGACCCGAGCGACGAAGAGGACTTAGAAACGATGGACCCACCTCTGGGGGTCCCGCCGGATAACACTACACTCACTGTTAGTGCAACAACAAACACACTAGTTCGCCCTCGCCTCCGAGCACGGCGAGACCAACACAACGCGTACACAAGGTACACCCGCGTTCCGGGGCGGTTCTCACCGCTCCCAGCCACTGATTAGCTAAATGCACAGTCGACGGCCGTCGGGGTTTCCGCGGTAACCGCGCCCTCGATGGCCCTTAGATGACACACCATACTTAAACGCACGCATGAGCACATGCGTGGCCCTACCCACAGTGGAGGGCCCAAACCCGTGGGTTCTGGCTAGCCCACCGGTTCTGCGTCAGATGAAGCTTTAATAGTCTCGGGACTGAAAATAAAAACATCAGTTAATACAAGATACAAGAAGGAGCTCATGCTTCGAGGGCAAATCAATTATGATAAATTTAATTTAATTGTTTACTTCCGCCCTACCTGTAATCAGTGCTGCCCTACCTCAAATTCAACTCTAGCTACAGCCCTGCGTAGCAGAAACCATTGGCTATAACACAAGCAATAAATAATCCTCCTCCTTGTGTGCTCAGAAAAATTATCAATTTCTTTTTGGTTTTACCGCCCTCTGTTAGCCTTGAGGGCCTTTACAGATTCAGCGGGCTTGAAATGACCGGGCGCTGAGGGTACCTAGCCTGTATCTCAAAGCGTCTAACTTGTACCTCAAAACGCCTAGCCTGTACCTCAAAACACCTAGCCCGTACCTCGAAGCGCCTAGCCTGTATCTCAAAGCGCCTATCCCGTACCTCAAAGCGCTTAGCCTGTTTCTCGAGACTAGCTTGCACCTCGTAACATTGTCAAGACTAGATCTCTCTTTCAGGCCCCTTCATTGGCGGTTTGGCCGCATCGAAGATCGGACGCAAGTGGGGCCTCCTCAGTTCCGCTATCCCCCTGTTCCTGGGATGGATCCTCGTGGCGGCGGCCACCAACGTCGGCTTCCTGTACGGTGGCAGAATATTCTGGGGGATAGCAGTCGGGATGCTGTTCACAATATCGCCGATGTACTGCGCCGAAATCGCGACAGTTAGTCTTGCACGTTTCTTTAGAATCGCTTACTCGAATCGCGTTTCAGCTGTGCTGTGGTCCACTTAAACGGTGAAAGACGAAAACGAAACGGACGATGAAGGACGAACTAATGATGAAGAAAGAACGAATTGTGCTTTAAAAGCTAATTCTTTAGAAATGGAGTTTCCCCAAAATATAAAACATATCTCAAGACAATCTCGAATCAACTATTCCTTAATATGCAGTGAGCATACATTTAATGTAGAAGATAGCTTGTGAGGAGCGTAGGCAGAGCTGTTTATTTTCTTTGTTATTTCATTGATATGTTCTTGCCAATTTATTTTTGTAGCTAAAAGTAAACCAGAAATAAATAAATAACAAGTAAACAGAAACTTTGCAGAATATATAATAATGTAGTTAGTTGTACTGACAGCAAAAGGATTCATATAATGACACTTGCCTTAGTTATATCATTAACATAATTATATAATGAAAATTTTATACCGATAAATGTAATATATTTAAACGTCATAATTTAGCACCTAAATACATGAACGTCCCTATATAAAGATAACCCGGCGGCACCCGACCTAATTGCATGACAATGTGTCTATTCTACTAAAACTTCTGGCACAAGGTAGTTGAAAAAAATAACGATATTTTTAAAACATTCCTTGTAATTTTTTTTAACTAGATCAAATATAGAAAGTTTTAATTACCTAATGATATTACCCGGAGAGAACCTGTCGACTGTGTTGATGTTCTTCCATATTTTGTTTCGTATTTTAGGGGATTATGTTCTTTATTTTTATCAAAAATATTAGCAGATTAGATTTATTTGGTAAGGTTTTAGTTGGTGTAGGTAGTTACCTAGATAAATTTTGTATATTTAAAATATTTAGTATAATATAATTCTTTCATAGTTCGATTCTCATAACAATTAATGATTCAAAAGGCATCATAACACAGACAGCCAAATGCAAATAGATATCATCAAAAATTATACAATTCATAATGATCTTTTGTTCTTTTACAAACATCATATTCTATCACCGCTTCATATACTAATAGTATAATATAGCTCGCAAGCTTGTATACACAAGATATAAAAAGGTAATTTTCTAATGAAGAAAAATATTGGAATGTCATCAACCACGATTCAGTATTACTTATTACTTTATTGCTCTTGTCATTTCACACACTTTTTGCTTCTACTAAACTTGGAATCAGATAACGTATACGAAAATCGATAATTTTAACCTAAATACAATTTCTCTCTTCTCCGATCGCTGTTTAATTAATTATTTTCTTTACTATTTACTTTATTTAAAAAAAATAAGCTTGTGCAATGCAACGTGATGTTATGTCATAGATCCTTTAGGATCTTATGTTTTTACTCTAAAAGACGTACAAATATTTACAGAGCCGTTCATAGCATCTAGATTAACAAATAATAGCCGGAAAAATTACAAAAGTTAAATAAGTAAATTATAAATATCCCACAGATGGGCAAAGACTTCTGTTGAGGCATACTCCACCACACTACCCTACTACGGATTGGCAGACTTCACATATCGTTGAAATATATTTTTTGTTCTTATTACGCAAATAGATTTCCTCACGATTTCTTCCTTCAGCGTTGAGAACAAAGAGCTATCACACTCATAAAAAAAGATATGTGAAAAAGTTCAAAATATCGACGTCCCGATTGGCGCAGTGGGTAGTGTACCTGCTTCCTGCGCCTGAAGGTGTGGCTTCGATCCGTACTACTGGAAGAATATTGTGTGATGAACATAATGTTTTTCCAGTGTCTGGGTGTTACCATAATTATGTACAAAAAAAAGTATGTCTAAGTATGTTTATCAGTTTTCTAGTACCCATGGTAAAGTTCCCTAGTCCCAAACTAAACGTTGCTTAGTTTGGGACTAGGGAACGTTCTGAAAAATAAACAGTTAGAACAATACTGATATTCTTCCGTTATTTTCGTCAGGACGACGTGCGGGGTGCCCTCGGCTCCTTCCTTCAGGCGTTCATCACCCTCGGTTTCCTTCTGGTGTACGGGATCGGGCCCTTCATATCCTACAGCGCGGTCGCCTACGTCGGGGTTGCCTTCGTTGCGGTGTTCACTATCAGCTTCTACTTCATGCCGGAGAGTCCGATGTACTACTTGATGAAGAGTGAGTAACCCTCGTTGAGTAAACTTTCTTTTGGTGTCGGGAAAAATCTTCAAAAGCTACAATCTAAACCTTTGCTCACTCAGTAGTACCACCTTGCTCGACGACATTAATAAGTACATCAGTAATGAAGCGCAAAATTCGATTCCGGAAATTTTACAAAACCCAAAACAATGTGAATAACACGTCAAATTTTCACTACTCCCTTGAGTGACTTGAAGAGAATGCTATTTAGCTTTAAGTTTGCATCTTACCATCAGGTGGGTGGCAGTCAAGTGCTGGCCAGTTTTGCAGTTAAAAAAAAGCTACCCTGTCATTTTTACATGACAGGGTTCTGTGGGGTACTTAGCAACTAAAACCCCCTTGGTGGCCACTTTCTGTGCGTTTGGAGGAATTCCGGGATCTCCCACGGAACGCACCGGTGTCCCTCGATACTGCGCCTGAGCACGCCTCGGAGAAGGATAAACCTTCCCCGGTTCCCTCGCCATCTTGCAGCAGCTCGAGACCACTTCGAGCTGCTGCCAATCCGTGTCCCCTTTTAGTCGCATTTTACGACAGGTGACACCATAGTCCTATTATATGAGCCCGAGATTACAGGGCTGACTTTACCTGCTGCCTACGTGAACGACACTAGTTGTCGGTTTGTTGTGATAACTGACAATCAGTCGAAAGCATCTCAAAATAGTTTTTTAAGGTAGTCACTACGGATTTTGAGCGTGTCGGATCAAAGTTCAATTTATTTATTGCTCTCTTATTAATGTGATAATTAATCACCAATTTGCAAATTTCGTATACAGTAAAGCGGTGTAAGACTCTATGGTTTGTAATTTACAGATATCGATATACATTAAGGATTAGAAGTACAAAGGCCAGATTAGACAAAAATGCAAAGTGGATTACTTATATTCAAAAACTTTGTGTTATCACATACTTATATGATTTTAGCATTTCGCTTCTTTGCTACAGACCGCTCAAAATCTTTATCCCGACTCTCTGCTATTTATACTTTGGCTTATCACTTGTGTTAATTTGAAATTTTAAAGTTTCGCCTTCTGTCTTCTGGATTTTAAACTTATATCCCTTATTGGCATACGCTGCTTATCATTTCTTAAACTTTTTCGGTTTTTTTGCAAGAGGCAATTTATTTCCAAGATCTTCACAGAATTCGCTATGATTCTTTATGGCAGATGACCGCGAGTCGGCAGCCGAATGCCTGATGACCATCCGTGGCCGCTCACGAGCGGGGATCGAATCGGAGCTCAGCAAGATGGCGAACGAAGTCAGCGCGTCAATGGAGAAGACAGCAACGGTAAGATTAAAAATGATTTATCCATACAGATGACGCACGTCCATACTGCGCGGCGTTTTATTTTCCGATTTACATTATATGACATATACAATTGAATTTGACAGACGATATAGAACGTACGATACGGAAAGAGATAGCAATTGCAATGTAATACACCAATTAGCGTAATTTGAGTTTCGGTGTGCTTGTGTCATATCTACCTCGTACTTGCTTAGTATCATTGATGTGTCTAGTAAACGGGGGGGGATAAGGGATAGCAAAATATATCATTCAGCTCGTCCCCTTAAGAGTCGCCGTATTGGAATATGAAAAACTCGAAACTTGGTAACAAAAAGTTAACAAAACTCATAATTATAAACTCAATAATCCCGAATGGTGAGCATCTGAAATCAAAAATGAAAAAAATGTGATAAGATTGTGTGTGTTCTTTACTGTATGTTTAGCGTATCTGCTTATTTTATATTTACTTTGGATCGAATTTCGATGCCGCCATCCATGAATTGTTACTGTGTGTGATAATAATCAAGTGGATTTAAAATTTAAAACACAGGCAGTCTATTAACAAACCACACACCTGAATAGACTATGTTTGATATTAAAGTCGCATAAGGTCCATCTGATAGATTGGCCATTTTGACAACCTGGCTCTCAAATGAGGCTTTTTGGGAGAGAAGTTATACGTACGCTATACTAGTAACTATTGACTTCTTGATTTTACGCGAATGTTAAATGAAACTAGTTTACGGATTTTATCGCGTTTTTATTTTGATTTGAAATACCCGACTTTTTGAACGCTTTCCAGCGTTCATGGTCACGGATTCACTGTTGCGTATTGTGTGTGGACGTACAACTAATTATATAACAACGTACTTGCTCGTAATTTTCTACATTATTACTTAACTCTTCTAGTAGTTCCATCAAATTCCACCTCTTACTGCCGACTCCAACTTTGGGTACTATCAAATTTAACTGTCTAACTACTTTAGTAACCACGTATAAAGTTTGAATCTCTTTAACTCAACTATAAGCCGTTGGATTTTATTCATGATATTTTTCTTCAAATTTCGTCTTCGATGCAGGGATTAGCTCTATTAATATCTAAATTACTTCATACCATTCCTTATAGCTCGCTGACGTCTTCCGAGGCAGCAACTTCAAGGCGTTCTACATCTCCTGCGCTCTAGTCTTCTTCCAGCAGTTGTGCGGCATCAACGCCGTGCTGTTCTACATGAACACGATCTTCAAGTCGGCCGGCTCGGACCTGGACCCATCCATCGCTACCATCATCATTGGTGCCGTCCAGGTGAGTGCGCCCTCAAGTTCCTTTGGCTATTAGCTGACTAGCTGATCCGACAAAAGCTGTTTTCCCATATAAAATGTTATCGTTAACGCTCCCGCAACGCCACTTGTGATGGGTGAATTTCGTAAAATCCGTTCTTAACTGACCTCTACTCGGCGAAAGGAATATTCCTACAAAATTTCAAGTTTCTACGCCTTATCGTTCCAGAGATATCGTGATGAATCAATTATCGATGGAAATCTCTTACATACCTATATAATAAAGAAGAAGAAGATAGATAGATTATTATTAGTCATTATAAATTTTTTTCTAGATAAAAAAACAAAATCTTTTCAGTATTCTTTGTAAGGTGTCGCGTGCTGTATAAGATGGTTTCTCTGTTTATTTTAGCTTTTAATATGTTTAGGTCGTCGCTTCAATGATAACTCCGTTAGTGGTCGATAGACTTGGAAGACGCATTCTGCTGCTGGTATCAACATGCGGAACTGCAATTGGATTGGTGAGTTTAAGTTTACTTTTAAAAGTGTTATACTTTATCATTTATGTATTGACGATGAAAAAACCTTTTTAAGATTTATCCGGCTCGAAGAATCTAATACAAATGTTGTTTACAGCAAAAAGGTATTTTTATATGAATATTCTTAATATTTTCCCTTTGTTCAAATATCGCAGTCCCAATCGCTTATGTACCGAATAGCTTAGGACCCATCGGAGTTCCTTCATCCTAATAAAGGTCCTATTCACTACTCATCCTGATGAGGATGAGTTCGCGGTCGTGCCTAACTCTCTGTTTGTCTGACTTCGGCCTTTTAATTATTTAATCAATAATGTCTCGGAGGTTATAATAATTTTACCCCTGTACTATTATATCGTATCATAGGTTTTATGATGATTGTTAAGACCTCCTTTCTCCTAACCTTATTACACTAGATGGGAACGGCACAATATGTTCTCTATCAGCCGTCATCTCAATCCCACCCCTTTCACAATGATCATTCTTCACGCAGTGCATCCAAATCTTTCTTGGTCTTTATTTAGCTTTACACCCTCCAACCACGATCATTCTCATCTCTCTTCTGGCCACATGACGTTTACCCCTTCTCATAGCGTTCCCATACCACGTCAACATTTATTATTAAGATCATTGAAATCCCAATTTTCCAATTTCCTTATTTTCGTTTTCTCTCTCTTAAGATTAACTTTTAGTTAAGTTTCTCTTCTCTAATTCGAGTTTATTTTAAAAGTGTGGTCTTTACCAGTAATTTAAATATGCACGTATATTTTTACAGCTTCACTATTAAGTTAAACACATTTGCATGTCGGTGTTATGTATGTATTTAGTTAGTAAGCCTCAATAAATCACTACATAGTATAAAACAAAGTCGTTCCGCTATCTGACTGTCCCTGTGTATGCTTAGATCTTTAAAACTGCGCAACGGATCTTGATGCGGTATCTTTTACTAGAGTGATTCAGGAGGAAGGTTTATGTGTATCATACATTGCACCCGTGTGAAGCCGGGGCGGGCGCTAGTAAATAAAACCATGTTCGTAGGCTCTGCTTGGCATGTACTTCCTGCTGAACGAGCAGAAGAGTCCGGTCGTGTCCAGCATCGGTTTCCTGCCGATTCTGTCTCTGGTGCTCTTCATAGTGACCTACTGCTGGGGTCTGGGCCCCCTGCCGTGGGCGGTCATGGGGGAGCTGTTCCCGATCGAGGTCAAGGCCGTCGCATCGCCCATCGCCACCGCCTTCTGCTGGATTCTCTCCTTCTTGGTCACCAGGTCGGTTTATGTCGCTTCTCAATTTCAGACATGTGTTGTAATTAAATTAGAAATAATTATCGAAGCGATAACGACGATGCTTTAACTAATTTTATTGTACTTTTCACGTAGTGTTGCCAAATATATTTAGGTTTCATAAATTGTAGTTGTTAAGTTTAAAGAAAATATGTTAGAAGCTGATTTAACTTTTCTTTCATAAAATATGCCCACTCAGCAATACCACCATCCTCAACGACATTAATGAGGGCACATCAGAAATAAATCAGGAAATTCGAAAAAAACCCAAAACAATGAAAATAAAACGTCAAACTTTCACTACTCACATCTGGTTGACTGGATTAGAATGCTTATTAGCATTATGTTTGCCTTTTGTTTGTTGGGGTGTAAACTATCAATTTATATACAGGGTGACTTTACTAAGCGTATCCACTTTTTTTATTAAATTCTAGACATAAATAATGTTATATAAAAATTATAAACATTTAAAATCACTCTTAAGTAATTAATTATATTCATTTGAACTCATCTCAAAAAGTGCGTGATTTATACCCAACTAATTTATTTTACGCGCGATCATTCATAACTAACACGCACACAAGTTCATTACAAAAGTATACGATGCATTTTAAAAGACTACCGCATTGTCTACAATTTCTGTTTTTTTAGGGAATGGAATGGCATTTTTTTTTTTGGGAAAAAAACTTTGTTTTTTATTTCAATAAACGATTATACTAACGAGGCTGAACCTCCTTGTATAAAGAAAAACGTTTAACACCGCAGGTACTTCGAGCCCATCGCAAATGCAGTGGGCATGTACGTGGCCTTCTGGCTCTTCGGCGTCTGCTGCGTTCTCGGCTTCTTCTTCACGCTGTTTCTGGTGCCCGAGACGAAGGGCAAGAGCCTGCAGGAGATCCAGGACATGCTCGCCGGCAGGTCGGTTAAACTTCACTTTGACACTCCACTGACAGATTTTCAATGTTGCCATATGGGATCACAAGGCAGTTTGGCTTTCTTATATTAAGCCGAATTAATATGATTTGTTAGAGAGTTGGTAACGAAGACATTCGCAGTAGAACTAAGGTGACCGACATAGCTCAGAGGATTAGCAAGCTGAAGTGGCGATGGGCCGGCCATATAGCTCGTAGAACCGATAACCGTTGGGGAAGAAAGGTTCTCGAGTGGCAGCCTCGTACTGGCCATCGCTACGGCGACCAGCGAGACCTCCACTGCGATGGAGTGACGACCTGTGCAAATGTGCGGGAAGTCGATGGATGCAGGTGGCTCAGGATCGTACTTCGTGGCAGTCTGTGGGGGAGGCCTATGTTCAGCAGTGGACTCAAACAGGCTGAAATGATGATGATGATAATATGATTTTATTATTATCGTAGTTAAACGTCTTCGGATTTCTCGATATAGACAATTATTCATAAACTTTTATACAGCCCGTATTTATTCTCTCTTTTTTCTCACACTGGACTGACAGATTTTTAATGTTGTCATAGAGGGATCGTTTGACAGTTTTGCTTTAGTACATCTTATAATCTTAATATCTTATAACCGAAGTATTATATGGAATTCATTTTTATAGTGACAAAAAACAAAAGCGATTTCAAATATATCATTCACTATTTTTCGCATTTTATGTTTGATTTTGAGCGGCTCCCTGAAGTTTCTCACAAAGTTGAAGGTCCAATGTCAAGAATTAATATGGGACCACCGCTAATATGGAACCTATCTCGAACCAAATGCAATTTTTTTTAAGAATTACAACATTACATTTAAATTATGAATTACATTTAAGAACATAAATTACGGAATTCCGAGGAAACAAATATAAAATAAATACCACCGGAATTCCTCATTTTTGAAGCCAGTTGAAACAATAAATGTAAAATTTTCCATTAGCCTCCGGGTGTTTTTCGACCTAAGAAAAAATTTATTCGGTAAAGAAAAACCATTTGTGAAAATATCATTTATCAACGAGCAGAATTCGGCGGACGCCTACGGAAATTCATTTTATTATTTGCTCAAAGTTGACCTTTTTTTTAATCAGTTTATTACAATATATTAAACTTAATAATTAGTAATAAGCTTTGTTTATACTTATTATCAATTAATTACTCATTATCATTGAATTATCAAAAAATTTACATTTATTTAACTTGGTTTCAGGAAATCAAAACCAGAGAAGGCATAAGCTCATCAAAGCTTAGAACAATGAAGCGAATAATAAATGTTTTTTTTTTAAATAACCGCTAGGCACTTGTATTACATTGTTTACTGTATAAATTGTGTGTTGTTACTGTGTGATAGACTTATTATTACAAAACTGTCACTATAAAATCGTAAAGATTATGAATGTTTTATATTAAACACATCATAAATTTTTAATATTTACCTTTTTTTCAAATTGTTTAAAAATGTTCCTATTTTGATATAACTTTTGTAATATCCACTCGCTTTACGAGTGATTTATAAAAAGTGAACATACTGTATATGCAACGAATTGACAGTTCGCTCGGTGTGTCAGTGTGTTTTAAAAATATAAAAGTAAATAAACGTCCTGTACCAATATTATAAACTAAACGGTAAATCAAATTAAAAGCGTTTAAAAAAATCACAGCTTTATGGCTTCATCATAAAAAAAGAAACTGTTAATTCACGAATTATTTATTTTCCCCACATTGACATCCCAGTGAAAAACCCTATTGATGTTTGTTGCTATTTTTTTAGCAGAATGGATACGGATCAGTAGTACTTTGCAAAAATATTTTTATTTAACTTAGATTTAGTCTTTTTTTTATCGAGCGGCCATGTTTGTTTTTATTTAGGACCAGTACCCAAAGTACAAAGTTAAGCGCTAGGTGCTACAGTGTGTACCGTAAGTTTTTGTGATATGCAAATGAATTTATATTGTTGTTTTTGTACATAATAAGTATACATAGACTATTATATAAATTATTTATAAATTATTTATAAATAAATGTTTTACTGTTCAAGTTTTGATGTTTTATTAACCCGGCTATCATTACATCATTTCAATATGACAACATTTTGGAAACTAAGGAACATTGTTTTTTTTTTATGCACACCTTGTTAAGACAAACTTATTTTGTTCTTTATGAAGGATCATGTTATGTACCTTGCCTGTATTAAAACAAAATTACATAACAAAATTGCAAGTATTTACTGTGATCTGTAACAGTTATTTTGAGGCCTGAATTTATTATTGTCAAACAATGATTAGTTGGTTACGCACTATCACTGTCTGCCATATAAATTATGCCCTTTCCCAGGGCCAAATTTATGATTTCTGATAATATTTAATGTGATCATGTTTGTACAAAGTACTATAGGTAAAAGTAAAACGCGAAAAAAATATAAAAGGAATAGTTGTTTACTATTGTTTATTAGTCTGAATTTTATTTCCGAAGTCTCTATTGTGGTGTCCCATTGTTTGTGGAGGCCCCGGAGCTGTTGTCCCAGGTAAATCCCCTCCCCTAAATCCGGCCCTGCATGAAATAAGCTTGTTTAGGCGTAGATCTCCTATAACCTCTTTCTATTTATGATTATTTTTTTTTAAATATATGAAGTTCGCCAATCTGCAGCGGGGTCGCGTGGTACTATGCCCTAATACCCTCTGTTAGAGGTACAGGTGACCTTTGCCCAGCAATGGTATTTGTACCTATAGGCTGATACATTACTTTACTTTTTAGCAGGATCTCGGAGAAATTCGATATTTCAACGGACCTTGTGGTAAATTAGTCTTAAATAAATATCTTCAGGAATAAAATACTTTAATGATAACCCTGTAGGCGGCCGTATGTTTACTAAATTACTTAAAATTTAGTGTACAAAAAACACCACGAGAAGAAGGTACCAAAGTTTTAGACTTGAAAATCAAAACTCAAACTATACCAAACGCAAATAACTAAGAAAATTATTTCTGAAATATTTTTAAATGCACGTTGCATTTATAAATAGGTCAAAAATTATTATCTTAGTCATTTCACGACGTTGTGATTTAGTAGGATTATTAAAGAAACATTCCATTCAAGCCACTGTCAATTATAACCGCTTAATTAAAGGAACCGAAAATACATCCGATGCTGTTTTCAATGTAAATATTGGCGATTACTAACTCTTGCACCATATGTAACGTAAAAAAAGTAAAGTAACATCCTATACATATCCAACTTCTGGGTAAAGGCCTCCTCTTTTACAGAGGGTATCAGGGCATAGTCCACCACGCGGCCCTACTGCGGATTGGCGAACTTCACATATCTTTAAAATATATTGTTTTTGTTATTATTTCGAAAATGTGAAGGTTTCCTCACGATTGTTTTACCTTTCACCGTTACGCACATGATGAATTCAGCCCTTAAAATTAAAAATGTCATTGGTGCCGGCACCGGGGATCGAACTCAGGTTGCTCGAGTATATTGAGTTAAAGGCGAGCGCCCGGACACTGAGCTATCACAGTTGATATGTAACGTATGTCATAAAAATTAGGAATGTCTCGTAGACTCGCACCATGCATAAAAACCTATATGACGAAAGCACTTAGAAAGTCCGAAATTAATTTTGCATTCCTTCTCAAATCTCCAACTTCATATCGCAGTTTCGAATATAAATAAATCTTTTAAACAGTAAACTTAAACAGTTTGATTATTATAGGTACTTGTATAATCAAAGGTTGAGATTAATATGGAATGTATAAAACAAAATGAAAACGCAGTCTTTGAGTGTTAATCATTACAATAAAACGGTAAATCATAAATGTAAATGTCCGTTGTTAATCTGAAGCGTCTTATGGTCAATTCGTAGCTTTTACCGACGCTTGCTCATATTTATCAACATTATCAACTACCTCAATAGTAGTTGGGAGGCAATAATATCTACAAATGTGATCAAAGATTTTGTAAACACGTCGTCGGTGTAGTGATTATTTATAGTAATTATTTTATTATAAAAATAATAAAAAATTAAAATATCATTTGTATCATTTTGATATTTAAAGTCAATAAGAATAGAAAGAACCCCGAATTAGGATACGTACGTTTATTTTTTATAATATCAATTACGCAAAAAGAATATTATAATTATGCAAAACTATGCACTTATATATCGATACATGTCGGCACTACTTGTCTTTCGCTGTGACCATTAATTTTATAATGTTTGTGGTTCAGATTTTTTTTCATTTAGTGATTTCGGCTGGTCTGGTTTCATAAATTTGTTAAAAATTGTAATTCGTATCACATTTCCGAATCAAAATGTAATGATTACATTCCCTTTGTTCGTAATACCATAAATACACTATCATTTAGATCATATATGATGACCGATAGCGATACAATTTCACACCCTCATTAATTTTCTGTTGTGAACGCCGTGCGCACTATCGGCGATTGGGAGTAGATGATAGTTCGGATAGTATATTGTTATTTTGAGGAGTTTTTTTATAACGGTGGCCACAGCCGGTAAGCACGCTTGTTGAGATTACGTCGTTAGTTGTCAATTCGTGTTCTAATTTATTTTTCCAACGCTAGACCACTAGACGCACTCAAACTAGTTACCTAAGACGATGGGACAATTATGGAGACAGTACATCATCGCCGCTATTGGTATGATAAATTGTATTGTTTTGATTTTCATTTTGTACGCACTACAAACACTGGATGTTAAAGTATTTTCCAAATAATGATTTTGTCTACTCAACACCGCAGGTATTACTTGTGTAACGTTAACCTTTGCACTCCACTGTTTTGAAAGCGCATCACTACATAGTATAAAACAAAGTTGTCCCGCTATCCGTCTGTCTCTATATGCTTAGATCTTTAAAAGTACACAACGGATTTTAATGCGGTTTTTTTTACTAGATAGAGTGATTCAAGAGGAAGGTTTATACGTATAATACATTGCACCCGTGCGAAGCCGGGGCGGGTCACTAGTTAATAATATGGCGCTTGCAAAGCGGTCCATTGACAGAACAACATTTCAGGTTGAGATGGGACCTATTAATCTGTCATTTAGGTAATTAAAACATGGCCTAAACCAAGATAAAATGTTCCCATTGAAATTATTAACGGTCTTTAATCGCTTTTATTCTTCTTTTATTACACAACGATCACGCTTTGTAAGTAAATGAACGAGTGTCTTGTAACGTACACTTCTTTCTCCAGTCTTTTTTACCTATCTAGTCAGACCTAGTCCCGACCGCCGTTCTGACGTCAACCCTGCTTGGAAACAAACACCCAGATTCGTTACAATGATCCGTGGGTCACACAAATCCTTGTCCCGTGTGGTTATCGAACCAACGACCATCACCACCGAAGCCATGTCAAAACCTAAACATCAAATTCAACGCCCAAAATGCAACGTCAAAGCGAAACTATTTGATAATAAAATGATAACAATGATAAAACTATACAAAACTAAACAAATAAATATCCCCAAATAAAACTATACTATAGACGAGAAAACAAATATCTAATAAAATATAATATAACTATACATTAATTATTCTTTTAAAAAGTGATGTGTATATTTCCTAGAGACTAAAGTGGCATAATATTGTTCTTAGAACATAACTCGTCTGTTTGTCGAATTAAGGCATACTTTAATAAAATGTTGTAACGCATTTGCAATCCTACGTTCGCCACCTCGCCACCTTGTTACATAAAGAAAAATTAACGATTAATTTAATTAATAAATAGTACTTGGAGGACCGAGCATTGCTCGGTTTTTTTTTTTGGAAATTAAAAAAATAAAAAACAAAGAACGCAATGATCTGATATAGAAAAAAAAGTAAAAAAAATAAGTTTGTAAATGATCGTGACACGAACCGCGGCCTTCTATTTCGGGGTCGCCCGATTACCGACCGAGCTATTATAACATGAATGATATTTTTCATTCCCTGAAAACAGGGATAAAAGGAAATTTTCTAATAATGAAACCTAGCTAGATCGATTTTTCGCCCCCGAATCTACGCACATACTAAATTTCATGAAAATAGCTGGAGCCGTTTCCAGAGTCCGATCTATATCTATATATAAAAATTAACAAATCAACGTCCTCCACTTTAGCGAATATGGGGATCGCGTCAATTGGGTACTCCATGGGGTGGACCTCGCCGATCAACATAAAGTTGCAAGATGAGGACCAAGCAGACTCCCCTCTACCGGCGCCGCTGGACGTAGACCAAACCGCCTGGGTGGGGTCGCTCCTGCCGCTGGGAGCTATATTCGGTACGAGATATTTGTACGAAACGTTAAAGTTTTTTTTTAAACGTATAGTTTGCTGTTAGCCCGGCGGCTTTGTCAGCTTCGGCGGAAGAGTTCCACAGGCAGACGACCCACGGACTCGGGAAAACAACGTAGGTGCTGCACGACGACGACAAGAAGACGCCGTCAGCTCCGCTACACCCTGCTAACGAAAGATGGACAATCACTAGACTAGCAGGGCCCCCCCCCCCCCCCCCAAAACGGCCCCTCAGATAGAGGTTCGAACCTCGGCTCGGATCGCAATCGATAAGGGGGAAAAGGTTGAAATTGCGATTTAATCCCGAGACGTATCGGCGTCGCGGCTTATGAATGAATAATTATTCAAGCATCATGGTACGAGATAACTTGCTCTTCTATTGGACAGTAAAAAGACAGTGCCTTCTCGTGGTTTGCAATTCGAGTGTTCTTATGTACTAGCAAGTTCCTGTCTGTGGATTTTATCAAATGTGATGCTCAAGAGATTTTTAGTAAAATCAATAAATTTATATTGCTTGAACAGGAAACTAATGTCGTATAAAATAACATTTGGCATGGGTCCTTACTATGGTTTCCATGTATCGTCTTTAGGTGGCCCAACTTGATCGTAAGCGCTGCCACAACAGCCACACGGGTACGACCAGGTCAAACTAGATGTGTTAACGAACCGGAGGCCCATTATAAAGTCGCACTATAAAGTGACCAAGGCACCTCAAATCGTCTGTCGTCGTGGGTTCGCGGCGATAACACCATTTTTTTTCCGCTGGATCGGGAGAGGGGCGTTGGTATGTGAGAGTCCCGGTCAGAAACAGGTACACAATAAAACCCACGTCGCACCTGTCTCTGTCACAGTGGCTGGCAGGGTAACATGTAGACAATCTTCCGCGACTATGGCCTATATGACGCTCGGTATGGTCAAATACTGTACACATGTAACAAGCAACAATCAAGGGAGCAGCTACGTCGTTAATAACCCGCTCTCACACAAAAAACTACATATGGATCTATATTCAATATAATTATAGTATTTTGTAGTCTAATTAATACAAAATTTTCATGTGAAAAGGTGTCTAGCGAGCAGGCGGTTTACCTGAAATAAACCCATGGACATCAACAATACCTATGGGGGTTGCAGACGCGTTGCCTATTATGGGACTCCAGTTACCTCACTCACATGAAACGCAAAAGAATGAGACTTCCACTTCATCCCCCCTCTTCTGTGGAGCCGTTGTACTTCACCAGACGAGCCTGCCGATTCGTGAAAGTGAAACTGAAGGGCAACAAAGCCTCTGCTACCACAGTGAGAAGAAGAGAAATCAATTTCCCCCAGGTCCATTCGTCGTCGGTGTAACTGTTTCGAAGATTGGCCGCAAGTGGACCCTACTTAGCTCGGCGATACCCCTGATCGCGGGCTGGATCCTCGTGGCCACCGCCTCCAACGTGGGGTTCCTGTACAGCGGCAGGATATTGTGGGGCATCGCCGTCGGAATGCTGTTCACAGTTACGCCGATATACTGCGGTGAAATCGCCACGGTAAGTTTTTTTTTATTAAGAACCGCATTTTACTTTAATTGTCCGTCTACTATCCCCTGTTTCGTGCCTAAGGTCATGATCGGTGTTAGCTTTATTAAAATTTTGCCCCGTCAGAGCTAGAAAGTTCAAATTTTGGATGACACCTATGTACACCTGCCACACTAATTCGAAGACTATTGACTTACAAACATCCTTAAGTGATGATATAGCCGTAGTCTTGCGTTCACAAATTTAGTAAAATGCCAATTCAGTTTTCTAATTTTAAATATCCCCCGGGAAGTAATTTCACACCCCTTCGTTGTTGTTCTTTCCCACAGAATTTTAGGGCGTCGTATGACACACTGTATATGATATTGTAGACACAACAGATAATCAGACGTTAAGGATTTATGAAAAAGCAAAATTTTAAATAATCTGCTGTTGCACTAACAGTCAGGCTCGTCTTAAGAAGTACCAAGGCCTTACTGAAGACCGGCGTGAAGTGGAAGTATTATACTTTCGCGTTTCGTACACTGTGTGAAGTATACGGGGCCTACTTTTTTAAAGATTGGAAATACATCTGCAATCCTTCAGGTGTATTGACGCCAGAATCACTTACCATTAGGTGAACCATCTGCACTTGTGCCAAGGTTTCACATGAAAAAGCTTTGCATTCCAGGACGACGTGCGCGGAGCACTCGGCTCCTTCCTGCAGGTCTTCATCACCTTCGGCTACCTCTTCGTATACGGGATAGGTCCCTTCGTCACTTACGGCGTTGTCGCTTACGTGGGCTTGGCCACCGTTCTATTCTTCGTTGTCTGCTTCTACTTCATGCCGGAGAGTCCCATGTACCACCTTGTCAAGGGTAAGTATGACAGCAGAGTTTCGGATGGACCCAACAGTGCCCATGAAAATGCTATCTTAATTAGTGATGCAGACCGTGGGATTCAGCCTATAGTAATTGACCCACCAGCCGATAAATATCCTCATGATCATCAAGCCGTAGATGCGGATTGTAAATACTTCGAGCTACTAAATTCTTACTCTTGTTTTCATATATATTCTTCACCGTGTATAACTTATTACGCATTTGACTATCATCCTTACCGACAGTACCTATACATTTAGAGATCTAACCACTTCATCACCCATTTACTTTACATACGATTCAATATAATAACTCGGACACATTCATGTTTGTGGAACGCATGTCTCACAAGAATTTTACAATACCTCCTACGTAACGGTTGGAGGTCGAGTCACAAAAAATTCACCCAGTATTAGAATAAATATTCGATGACTCCGCGGTGCAGTTTCCAAGGTATTGGCTTCGGCGTCGGGGATCGTGGGTTCGATTCCACGGGACAACTGTTTGTGTGACCCACAGATAGTTGTTTCGCATCTGGGTGTTTGTCCGCGTGAAATTTATGTTTGTAAAACGTCCTTACAACACAGGATAATTTTATCCTCAAGTAAGGGCAATGCTTTTCAAATAAAATATAAAAAAGAGTAGCTCACGCCCAACAGTAACCTGCCAAGCTGGTGGTAAACATGACATCGTTGTCATGGTAATCGTTTACCTAATGATCGTCTGACTTTCAAACTTCTTATTAGACGATCGCGAATCAGCGGCGAAGTGTTTGATGACGATACGCGGTCGGTCGCGTGTCGAAGTCGAAGCAGAACTCGACAAGATGGCGACCGAGATCAGTGCATCAATGGAGAAAACTGCTACGGTAAGTTTAGTAAATGTAAAAGCCATCCAATATTTAGAAGCTATGCTACAAAACGATACGATGACGAACTTGAAATGATGATGATGATAAATAATGTATGTAACGGTAATTTTTGCTGTATACAGAAAAAGGTTAGATACGTAGAAAAACTCAATGATTTGTGACGAGGAATTCCAACCACAAAATCACCGGTCTCCTTTAACTAACCATCGTTCATGATGTTACCAGTTTAACATACTTTTGTATCCCTAGTAAGCTACCTCGATGTTCGTAAAATTTCTAGACTTGGTGGACCGCAAAAGCGTTAGCGCTTTCCGCGTCGCGTGAGTTATGAAGGTTGGGCTGATTTCTATGACGACGTTAACATCTGATAAACTTTATTTTGCTCACGATGTCGCTTCATCCGACAGTTGGCTGACGTCTTCCGCGGCAGCAACTTCAAGGGCTTCTACATCTGCTGCGTTCTTCTCGCCGTCCAACAGTTCAGCGGTATCGGCGCCGTGCTCTTCTACATGAACACGATATTCGGCGCGGCCGGCTCAGAACTGGACCCGTCTATAGCCACAATTGTCGTCGGAGCCGTTCAAGTAATAGACGGAGAGCCAGGGAAAAACAAACGCTCCGAATTTACTAAATCCATACTTACTTTACTTATTTTCTGCCAGTTAGGATATACCTAATACACACACATGCTGTAGTCAGTCAAACGAACTGTACAAAAGGGTTCTTAAATATTAGGAATTTATACGCCTCGCGAATCTAGTAAGGGTTTGAAGGCAACATGAAACGTAAAAAATTTGTAATGCTTAATTAAAAGGCAGAACCTGTTAACGGGACGATTACCAAATTGTTTTTTGTTATATAATTCGAAAATTTTAAGAAATTTTAAGCTGTTTTAAGACAAGCACACAAATTTGAATAAAAAATACAATCGTTACCAAATTCAACAGATAACAAAATTTTAGCCAGTCTCCCTTTCTTCCTCCTCGTTAACATAATTACGCGTATTGCATTTGATAAACAATAAATAATTTAAATAATTTTTAATAGAAACATATTCGTTGGAAACAAGCGGCGAGATATTTTTTGCACAATAGCAATTTGGAATTAATTTAACCTAAACTCGTAGGTAAAACAAGTTCAACAACAAAGTTCTTATCAGCCAGCTTTACGTTTCATTATGTGTTAAAAATAATAAAATAATAAATTTGCAGGTGCTAGCTTCAATGGTCACACCGCTGGTGGTCGATAGACTCGGCAGGCGTATACTTTTGCTGATCTCAACTAGTGGCACGGCCACTGGACTGGTGAGCCCCCACATTATTTCTATTTTACTTGAATTATTTAAATATTTATTGAGGAAATGACCTCCTAATTGCAATCCATATCTCAGGAATCGACTTATGGCCATATCTGATTGAAAGATTATCATTAAATTGTTCTAAAAAGTTTTTCTATATTGTTATTCTAAAAACTGACGTCTATATTCCTGAACATTTTACATAAAAACGATCGAAATTCTAACCTTAAATGTCGTTATCACTAGCTTACGTATATAGCACGTAACAATAATAATCCTACCAAATGTACAAAGTTCTTAATTTGAATTATATATTTAAAAGGTTAAACCTAATGTGTCTCACATCATTTAATTGTTATAGTAGTATATACATATTTTCGAATTTTATTCATAACTTATTCTTCGTTTCTTTATCCGGCTCGAAGGACCAATAATGTACTCTAAGTCAAAACAAAATTTGCTTATATTAAACTAGTGGTGTTAGTCGCAGGACTGAAATTTACTATTTTATTTGGGTTATTAAAAAATATATATATTATGAATGTTCATTAATCCTTTCCTCATATATAAGACACCCGCATAAATTATCGTACTTTTATACTGACCAGTTAAATCATCCAAATCTGTTTGTTTAAAAGTGTTATTAAGTACACACTATAAAAGCGTAGACATTAATGCTGATGATCATCTCCATATCGGTGGTTTTAAAAAAAATTGGAAACTTTACAGGTATTACTGGGCACATATTTCCTGCTGAATGAGCAAAACAGTCCAGTCATACCCAGCATCGGTTTTCTTCCAATTCTCTCTTTGGTGGTCTTCATTGTCGCCTACTGCTGGGGCGTGGGGCCTTTGCCTTTTGCTATAATGGGGGAGATGTTTCCTATAGAAGTCAAGGCTGTAGCTGCACCACTTGCAACTACCCTGTGCTGGACTTTGTGTTTCTTGATAACTCGGTAAGTTTGTCGATCGTTGTAAATAAAATAAATATTTCACAACACATTTTACCCAAACTATGCAACGCTTGCACTATGGATACTAGATAATTAATAAACATACTTAAACCTATTTTTTTCTTTTGTAAATAAATACATGTTATTTATATATAAACGCCCAGACACTGGAAAAACACTATGTTCATCACACAACATTTTTTTTCTGTAGTGGGGATCGAACCCACACCCTCTGGCGCAAGAAGCAGAAAAAGATAATGTATAATAATGTATATAATTTGTCACTGGAAAGGCAGAATCACTTACCCGCGAAATAAATGTTTGGCCTTTAAGTAATTATGCCTTTCCAGTGAGGATAAATACTTACCCTTCAGTAATTAGAAGATTTATCAAGCTGGAATATTGGTTTCGATTATTTAAAGGAAAAAAATGTGCCTAAGTTTAAAAATCTTTAAAGAAACCAAAATTAATTTTTTTTATACTCCTGAAATCCATCAAGGACCAAGATGTGTGAAAATTATTGTCTCTGACTCTGCACTAGCAAATTCCCTGTCTTGCCAGTTTTATACTCTTTAATATATCAGATGTTATGAAATATACAAAGAAAAAACCTAAATTTATTAAAATCTTTGACTTTGACTATCAACTTTGAATCACCGTTGCTTGCGCTCAGATATTTCGAGCCGGTTGCCGAAGCGGTGGGAATGTACGTAGCGTTTTGGGTGTTGGCCGCGGCGTGCGTCCTCGGCTTCTTCTTCACGCTGTTCCTGGTGCCCGAGACGAAGGGCAAGAGCCTGCAGGAGATACAGGACATGCTCGCCGGCAGGTCGGTTAAATGTCACTTCGACACTTATAATTCCGTCGATTTTAAATGTTGCCATAAACAAAGCTATTCTATAATTTTTTTTCTAAGTAAAAAAAAAAGAAAATCTAAAGGTGCTTTAAACGATTCAACGGCTTATTTTATTTGTGTTGTATTTTTTTAAATGATAACACACTAGGCTGTTTCAACCAGAATTTAATTTATTGTAAATACTGTTTTTTTTTTTTTTGTAAAATTAGTAAAAAAAAAAAAAGTAAAATCTAAAGGTGCTTTTGAATAAACGATTGAACGGTGCCATAAAGAAAAAAAATCGATCGTACCGATGAATAAAAATCACCGTAAATTTTTGTGTCCAACTATATACGACATCTGGAAAGATTTTTAAAATTATTATTTTCTCTATTATTTTGCAGGAAATCAAATTTAGAGAAGGCTTGAGCTCATGATCACGACAAAAATTTAACCTTTTTTAAATCGAATATAAGACTTTTTTACGAACTGACTGAATGTTGATAGTGGACTTCTCTTAACCCGGAAGGTTATATGAACATTGTGTATTTCTAGTGTCTGAAAAGTCTGGCTGTTAAAATATTTACATATTATGTACTTATTGTAAATTGTTAAGTATTTTTCTTATTTACCTAGTACCATAGAACAAGCTTTGTTAATTTGGGACAACATATAACTTTGTATAAAAATATGTTCTGACGTGTTTATTCATTGTTGTTTCATCTATCGTTTTATTCACCTATTGATATTGCAAATTTAAAAAATGTTTTCATCAATAAACAAGTATATAACATTAACTAAATTTATTAAATTTAACCAACAAACTTTAACCAAATCTTAATAACTAATAAAATAATGTATTTGTGTTCTGATGCATTCTGAGAAAAGCCAAATAACTATTATTTACATTGGGACATAAAACACCTTAAGTTCCCCACACACGAGATCAAGTTCCCACACATATTAGTGGCACAGTCGGCGCCGGGGGTCGTGGGTTCTATTCCCACACGGGACAACTATTTGTGTGATCCCACAGATGACTGTTTCCGATCTGAGTGTTTGTCCACGTGAAATTTATGTTTGTAAACCTACTTACAACAGAGGATAATGTTATATTATAAAATAAAATATAAAAACAGGTATTCTTGTCAGGGAGGCCTAGTATTTTCAGCAGTGGATTCAAACAGGCTGACATGATGATGATGAGTCTTGTTAAACAATGAGTAAAAGTGTCATAGATATTATAAATTAATATATTGTTTTTTTACTGAGCCGTGATAGCTCAGTGTCCGGGCCTTTAATTCAAAATACTCGAGCAACCTGAGTTCGATCCCCGGTGCCGGCACCAATGAAGTTTTTAACTTTAAGTGCTGACTTATCACGTGCTCCGCGGTGAAGGAAAACATCGTGAGGAAACCTGCATATTTTCGAAATAATACAAAAAAAAATATATTTTTCGAAGATATGTGAAGTCCGCCAATCCGCAGTGGGGCCGCGTATTGGACTATGCCCTGATACCCTCTGTATAGAGGAGGCCTTAGCCCAGCAGTGGGACATGTATAGGCTGTTACTTTACTTTTTTACTTTTATATTGTTTGTGCGTAACAAAATTGGCAGCAATTGGTTACATAAAATTACGAGTTCATTCATTACTTACAGCTACAATACTTACTACATAGACAATGCACGTCTATACATGCACTTCAAATGTCGTACGTAACTTTTTTTATTTTAAAAGTAAAGTAAAAAAAAATTAATAAAAATTAAAAATTAATAAAATTAAAAAATACACAGCATGTCGATACACAGCCGCGACAATAAATGAACACACATATGGAGGATAACTTTTTCAAATTGTATTAAACATTTACATTCTTTAAACATCAATATTAACCGAGTTATTAAATTTTACAAAACAAACAATTTTAGAACACCCTTACGTATAAAACTGTAACGTAAAGTTCATTTGTAAAGGTCACAAAGCCTATAAATGAGTTGAATGAATTTAAAAGAGACAAAACATACTGTTAGAAGGAGAGGCTTGTAATGCGACGCTGTGGCAACCAATGAAAAAGTCTCTGAATGTATGTAATGTTTCTTTTTTATTTAATTAGTTTGAAAAATATTTTTTCTTTATTTAGGAATTTTTTCAAAGTTTATATTTTTTTATGATTATTGGCAAGTAGCGTTAGACGTGTGTTCATTTATTGTCGCGGTGGTGACGACACGCTGTATAATCACAAAATATATTTTTTTATGTGACAAGGTGGCAAGCGAGCTGGCGGTCCTCCCGATGGTGATAACCGCCGCCCATGGACATTTGCTACACCCGTAGGATTGCAGATGCGTTGCCATTATTTAATGTATAGATACATATAGATCCATATATGTACTTTTAACATTGTACGTAAAATTATTTTTCTCTTTTAAATAAAAGCACAAAATATAATAGGGAAACCCCCCCCCCCCCCCCCAATTCGTAATGAAACAACCAATAAAAAATAATATTTTATTTACATCAACTTCGCAATAAGCCATCGGTACAATTTGGACGTTGTAGTTTCTTTTAACATATTATACATATTTACATTGAAAAGTTTAAAACTTCTGCACTTCATGAGGAAAATCAGTCCGTTTATAAGTTACTGAAGAATGTAGATAATTTATTTGAATATAGTATAATATATTAGTTGCAATGCTTAATTTAGTGTATTAAATTTAAATGTAGATATTACCATACATTTAAAAACAAACAGTTCATTAAAGTATGATGATTATTTTATGTTAGTTCATTTTATAAATTCTGTTCAATTACAGATTGTTACAATTTATATGTCAATATTAATTGTCAATGAATAACAAAAAAAAAACATTCCCATACGTACATTTCCGAGATGTTATTTAATTATTCTCGTATATGTTATTTAACGTTTAACTGCAATGTATGTTGATACATAAATTTTTGTCGTAAAACACTAAAAGGAGACGAAACATTCGCATAAATAATTCGTACAATATTCTGGTTTCTTTTATAATATAAATAAGCTACAACAAACGACGTTTTTTACAAATGTTTACAAATGTTCGTTTTATGGACGCAATTAAAAACTATGTGTTATTTGATGCTATTGCGATGATACAGCGAACTTGAAATACGAGTGAAAACTTGTTCAAAATTTATCCTATAACTAATCGCAAGGACTCGAATCGAGGTTCGAGAGAAGACTTTCATATTGTTCGCTCGATAAACGAAATCGGCTCGTCTGTGTTCAGCGGTATCAGTAGTAGTACTAGTACTAGTACTAGTAGTAAAAGTAGTACAAAGAAACAATAGACCGGTCCAACCTAAAAGACAGCATCTAGATAAAAAACAGCTCGTAGAGTGATTCTCTGCTATTCTTAGCTTCCGTGCAAATCATCACTAGGCCCCACAGTATATACTACTCGTACTCTTTCGATATCTCGTCCATAGCGGTCAACACGTCGCAGATGCTAGCGGCGTACGCCTTCACGTCTTCGTCTCGCTTTATCTTCAGGCTCACGCAGTATAGCGACTTGTACATGGCCGACATCCGCTCGTAGTCTTTGTTGGATTTCGACCGGCAGTACTGTATGATGCTGCGCAGTATGTAGTGGAGCCGGTTCTCGTATAGGCAGAGCAGGCTGAGCTCGCTGCCTATCGGTCTCTCGTCGCCGTCTTCTGCCTTCGCCTGGTCCCGTTCCTCGGCGCCCCGCTCCTTGAGCAGCCTCATGACGGAGTGGCACTGGCGCAGGAGTTGGACCGCCGTCTGGAGGGACTTCAGCTTCAGGCTGGGCGACACTGGGAGAGATGGAGGCGGCGTGACAATCGGAAGGATAGACGGGGACGGTGAAGCGGTCTACTCTTCCCTATAGTTAATTGGACGAAAGTCGAAATCGAAAGTTCTCATCCAGTTCAGAAAGGAATAAGTAAGAAGCGGCGGTGTTCCTTGTATATTATCGGTTTTCTGGTTTTTCATATTGGAGTTTAAACTTAATAGCAGAGGCCAAGTGCAGAGCTAGAATAATTACTGCATGATTTAGAGAATAGCATAATATTTGTTTATGATTATTATATATTTGTTTATTATCCTCTAATTCTAATAAATAATGTATTAACGCAAGCGGCGTTTATTAATAGCAGATTTTAACTATAGTAGGACCCACGCAATAGTGTTCGCTGTTGCACGAATGGGCAGGTCCGTCCGGGTCAGTACCACGACCTCACAGCTTCGTCTGGTGAGTGAGGTAGCCGGGGCCCATTTTATTTAAAGGTGGCAACGCATCAACCTTACGGGTGTTGCAAATGTCCATGGGCGGACAATGAGCTATCACGGCTCTTCAAAATATAATACAACGATACAATCAAAGCAAACATAATTACGCAGTCTTTATTTTAGTTTTAATAAATATTTGTTCGCCTGGCTTTACTTTATATTACTGGAGAATTAATAAACCAAATACTTTGTAGTCATTCACAGCTCAGGCTTTGTTCAATATTTAAATTACGATGTAAACAAAGCTTTAATCAGGCAATAAACCATTAATGTGTCGACGTGGCGGTCACGAGAATAAAGTACTCGAGCCGCGGCGGCCCAGTGGCGAATGGCAAGTCCGGGGTTCGATTTCAGATATAAACTTTTGGCCTTTTTGGAAAACGAATAAGTGGGGACCGAACTCTCGGCGTCAAAGCCTACAGCTTGGCAACTGCGCAACGGAGTCATTCGATTGCGTTAAGTAAGTTGGCGAAGACTAAACAAGTTTTCCTAAGTTAGTATTGGTAATATAAACTCGATCAAGTTTAACTTGTCCTTGTTCTTCTAAAAAAACGTTGCCCTCGCTTTAGGACAACATAATCCTGTGCTGTAAACACGTTTTACATGTATAAATTTACGTCGACCCAGATTCGAAACAATTATCTGTGGGTCACACAAATAGTTGTCTCGAGTGGGAATCGAACCCACGACCACCTCCGTCCAAGGCGATACCTTTGAAACTGCGCCACGGAGTCATCGAACTTAAACCGCCAGTTTCTGTTGGTCCAACTATTTTTATCACAAAAGGGACCGTCTAGAAATGCCGCGATGCATAAATCACTGGCGGATATAAAAGAACTAGTCACAAGTTCCGAAATCACAACAACTAATAAAAGAGTAGCTCAATTGTTGTTTTCGTTTAAGTCAACGATACGCGTTTCGTTTGCTAAAGAATTACGGTTAACAGTCGCGATTTAATTCGGCTTAAGATAGCGCAAGGTCGACGTGGCAAGAAACTTATGTAGTAACAAAGCTAGACTTTTCGTCCGTCTATTTTTATTCTTAATCCAGCGTATAGTGCGGATTTTAAATTTTACAATATTTTGAGTTTATTTTTTGTGGTCTAATTTTTCATGTGGTAGATTTATAGCACGCTATAATACTTTAAATTACATAGGCCAGCTTTAGCGGCCAACACGTTTGAGAACACGCACTGTAATCGTGTTAATCGATATCAAATCAAATCGCATAATATTAATCCCTCTTAGGATTATAATAAATATTTAGGACACATTTTTACACAGGATTATAATATTTAATATTATAAATACTAGTCTATGAGGGAGGTCTGGGAGCAGTGGACTTAAACAGGCTGAAATGATGATGATGATGATATAAATAAGATTAAATTGACTCTGAACACGAGCGTTCAATTATTACATTAGGCCCACATCAGCCTGTTGTCAAACAGTTGCACAGGGTACAAAGATTGTCGCGAAGGAATTTTAAAATGTCATATTTAGCGAAGGAGCCTGGGAAAAATAATGACAAATTAAATTTATTTAGTTATGAATTTCGACCAATGGTCGACTAGTATATTGCAGATACGCGAACTCGACCAATCAGCAGTGGGGCCGCGTGGCGGACTAGTAGTAGTAGTATTGGAAGTAGAAGATAGATAGATGCATACATACATGCATATAAGATAGAGACATTTTCTTAGGATCAAAGAGGATAGTCGTAAATGGTCACGGACCCTGGACCTAGTCATAATGATATGCTTAAAAAACTACGTAATTCTAAATGTTTCGTGCCGTCAGGAAGACTATAAAAACATGTTCAAATAGAGCCAAATCGCCTTGAACCCTCAATTAAATTATATAAAAAAAGATTGCTATTTTGCTTGCACAAGAAATTGCTATTGGCATAGTGTAAGATAACTGATGTTTAGTTGATAATATGGTTTAAAGAATTGAGCATTGTCGAATCGCAATACAAACGAGGCGGTGTGGTGAGCAATAAAAAAGGAAAAACAAAACATCACAGACAAAAAATTAATACTAATGCGAGTGACAGAAATAAATAAAATATAAGATGAATAATTATAAATAAATATAAATAATAATTATAAACAGGAATAAATAGAGAGAAACTCGCGAAAAACAATATTTTTCTCACACTAGAAACGTCCTCATGTTGGAATAAGCATCTGAAACCCTCGGGTGCAACAGATGCCCATGGGCGGCGGTATTCACTTAACATCAGGTGAACCGTCTGCTCGCCTGGCAACTTTTCCAATAAAAAAATAAAGCTCCATCTATACTTCAACTGTATCAATAATTACAATTTCGTTCACATTAAACGTAGAATATTTAATGTATAATAATAAAATATCTTTATTCACATAGACGCTTGCGCGTTCTTATGAAACGTCGAAATTTTACAAATAAATTAATCCGTTCGTAAGTTACCAAGTGGTATTGAACAAAATATTAATTTATGAAATTGTTGAAGAGCGAAACGAATTTACGGAACAATCAAGAAATCACCGTTCGCGTAACATCAAACTTTTCGTAACGCTCTCGTCACGCATTCACCCCAAGTCAGGCTTGCGTAGGATATATCGAAAAAATATCGATATATCGATATTTTTTATTAAATAACTCGACATTTTAGCGGATTTATTTAGATCCGATATATCGATATAAAATTTTCAATATCAAAAACTGTAATTTTTCAAATTCGAATCCGGGAGAGAGTCCGCACATTCAAATATTTAATACTTGATATACGTCTTTTTTTTACAACAGGGCGTAAAAAGAAAATATCGATATATCGATATTTTCTCTTCGATAATTCGAGACCGATAGTGATATTTTTATAAACATCGATATATCGATATATTTCTTCACTTACGTCATCCCTAAGCGTGTGTAAAGAAGTTTTACTTGAAAAACATACCGCATTGCATCGGTGTCGTGGTGACACGCTGTAAATACAGAGATTTTGATTGGCTAAAGCTAGAAAGTCGTTACTTCGTAGATGCATTAACTCTAATAAAATAAATATTAAATATTAAGAAAATTTATAAAAGCTACCTTAGTGGAAAGGGTCTATTATAATGTCGAAAAATACATCGAGGACAAGGATGTGTGGAAATGGCTCTTGCTCTGCACTTGCAAATCCCCAGGCCGCTGCTGATTTTATACTTAAATAATCTTGTAAAAATTATGTAATTAAAAATATCTATATAAAATAATAAGACCGCAGGGTTTCTTTCCGGCTCTTCCCTCGACAGGTCTAGTTTTGTGAACGTTCAATAAGAGCTTAAAATAAGCGTATGTTGAATTAATTAAATTACGACTTTGACTTTGACTTCCGCTTCCACTTCACGCCGGTCTTCTGCGAGGTCGCGATACTTACTCGGACGGACTCGTCCGTTCGCGCGACAGGGAACACCGTCGCGTGGCCCTACCGCTTTTGACCTTGACCTTGACCTTGACTTTGACCCCGAGAGTCACACTCAACTTATTCGGTGAAAAGTCGAGATCATTTTGCACTTTGACCTTGACCTTGACCTTGACCGTGACCCTGCCCTTGAGCTTGACTTTGAATCGCCAATTGGCAAGTTCTTCGGCGAGAGCTCGTGACGACCATTTTGTACGCTGGAAAGGATATAACAATGCGCCAAGCATTGCTTCAAATGCTAAAAAGCAATGTAGATAAAGGACGTTAAGATTTACGTCGGTGTGGCAATCAGCCGTTTAGCTCAGTGGCTAAAGCGTCAGGCCGCGAATGTCGAAGACGTTGGATCGATTCCCAAAGCGGCGACATCTACAAATTTCAAAGACCATTTTCCGCTTTGACCTTGACGTTGACCTCGACTTTGACCTTGACCTTGACTTTGACCTTGACTTTGACCTCGCCCTCGCCCCACCCACCTGCGGCGTGCGCCTCCATGGCGGCGCAGTGCTCCAGGCGCACCGTGAGGAACATGCCGGCGTCTTCGAGCGCGGCGAACAGATTGGCCGCCGCCTCGTAGTTGGAGCGGGTCGCGGCGAGCAGGGCCCGTCTGCGGGCGCCCTCCTCCGTCGTGGTCCTGGACGGGTCATCGTCATCATCATCATCTTCATCATCACCATCATCTTCTTCATCCACCCGCCCTTATCCCACCCAGGTGGTGTCGGCAGGAGTCGTGTTGTAAGCGATCTCGATTATGTTTTGCACGACCCCCTTGGGACACAAACACCCAGAACCGGAACAATCATCTATGGGTCATAAAGAATCCGTAGTATGTACGGATCATAAAGAAACCCTCAAAACCCCTCGGATTGGCAGTGGGGTTTTGAGGGTTCAAAGTGGTGTTCAATACCATTATCTATAAAAACGGCAAAAAAAAAAAACACGTCTGTTGTATGGGAACCCTACTTAAATATTTTGTTCAACTGTCCAACTATCTATGAACCTGTTCATGAGATACAGCCTGGTAACAGACGGACAGGCAGACAAACATCGGAGTCTCAGTAAAAGGGTCCCGTTTCATCCTCTGGGTGCGGAAACCTAAAACCACGTGTAGCTCACCTGAACTGGGAGTGGTACAACGAACCAAGCCGGTGGTATATCATCGCGGCGCGGAACTGGTAGAGGTACTGGCGGGGCCCTGGGCTCAGCAGGCAGTACTTCAGCGCGTGCTTGAACGCGTCCGCCACCTCCGACGCCTCCTGCGCAAATAAGATGAGGTACTAGGGATGTGTGATATATCGATATTTGGATGCGATATATCGATATATCGATGCAAAATATTCAACACCGAAAATCATATCGGAAAAGATATATTTTTAAAATTCGAATTCGGCATATTTCTTCACTATCGACATCCCTAGAAGCTTACAACTCTACCGGTGTTGCAAATGTCCATGCGCGGCTGTTATCACTTAACATCAGGTGAACGGCCAGCTCGTTTGCCACTTTGTCACATAAAAAATAAACACAAATTTAACTTCGGCAAACATCGAGATGCGAAACTAGCTAATAGTTAACCCAAACCCAATGACGCACGTGTGGTTGGGGCCCGGGGCAGTCCTGCATGAGCACGGCGCGCGTGTAGAGGTGGCAGGAGAGCTCCCAGGAGACCAGCTCCCAGATGGAGGGCGCGCAGCTGTCCCGCGGGCCCAGCAGCCGCAGCGCGGACAGGTACAGCGCCTCCGCCTCGCCGTACAGGGCCCGCTTGTCCACGCTGCGAACCAGACCAGGGTCACACACTGTACACAGCACAACTTTCTCCAATCAAGCGGACTTCTGCGTACCCGAGAGCGGCGATGTCGCAGTGCGCCTTGAAGCGCAGGTAGCGCGCCTTGTTGCAGTAGAGCAGCGCCAGGTTGGGCAGGTCGTTGACCTGCTCGAAGATGGCGCTGGCCTCGTCCAGGCACTCGGCCGAGCGGCGCGACAGGCTCGTCACCTGCTCGGCCAGGGCGCGCGCACGGCTCTCCCGCGCTTTCGCCCCCTCCGCCGACTCAGTGTCCCTGCCTCCTTTCGCTGCCGCTTTTGCACCATCTTCCGCCTCCGCTCCTGCTTTCGCTCCCATTCCCGCTTGCGTTTCGGCTCCCGCTTTCACTTCCACTTCGGCTTCCGGTTTCGCTTCCGCTGCCGCTTCTGCTTTGTCTTCTACTTTCGCTTCTGCTTTTGCTTTCGTTTCCGTTTTCGCTTCCGCTACCGCTCCCGCGTTTCGCTCCGTTCCGTCATCAGTCTCCGCCTTCGCTTCAGCCACCGCTTCGGTATCCGTTCCCTTGCCCGCTGCCGCCTCCGCATCCGCCTCCGTCGTGCACTCCACGTACTGCGCGTACAGCTCTGCAACGAGCAGCCAGTGTATAAACCATATTACTGAGATTGAAATAACGATGACATCGAAATCCAGACGTACGGAGGAAAGTGGACTGACGCGAAAGTATAAAGGGAAACAACGCACCCATATCGATAGGGACATAAGTACCACGGGATCAACACAGCACGTACTTAAGGTACACCCGCCTTCTAGGGCGATTCTCACTGTCCCAAAAACCGATTAATTGAACACAGTAAACGGCGAATGGCATCACGGTACATTAGGAGAGGTCATATCAAGCCCGTGAGTTCTGGCTGGCCCATGGGTTCTGCTTTCTATGAAACTTTAATATTAATAGTCTACGGTCTGAAAGCGTAAACATTTAAGAGAATTAGACGACATTAAAATGTGTACACTCCATCAATAGTTCCGGGTTTGAGTGCACATTTCAGTTTGTTGAAACCCCGCGTCAAATTTTTTTAAGTAAATAAAAAATAACAGAAGAAATAAGAAACGAATTTCTTCCTCGCACGAATAAGAACAAAAGAAACTGGAGAAACAGGCAAAGAGGAAATATAGAGGAACGCTGAGAACGGAACACAACTTGGATCAGAGTTTATTCATGCACAGAAGGATCTGTTTCTCAGTAGAATGAGAAAGAAAAAAACCGAAGGAACGGGAAGGAGAACGAGAAAGCACATGAGGGACTCTAAACTATGGTGACGGAAAGACATAGGACGGGAAACAAGTTGGAGGACTGTCTGTGTTTCAAGCGTAGAAAGAAGACGAGAACCGCTCGGGTGGCAGTCCATTTTTGAGAGCATGAGAAGGAGAGGAGAGGCGCAGTTGTTGAACAATTAACCTATGACCTTGGCGCGGCAGGTCGTGGATTCACAAATGAGAGCAGAAGGATTACGCCAATGAGTGGAGTTAATACTGTCGATACTCACGTGGCCAAAACAAGAATACTATACTCATTTTTTTTTATGTGAAAAGTTGCCAAGAGAGCAAGCGGTTCACCTGACGTTAAGTGAATACCGCCGCCCATGGACATCTGCTACACCCGAGGTTTACAGATGCGTTGACAACCTTTTGAAGATTAGGCTCCGGCTACCTCACTCACCAGACGAAACGCGAAAGTATTTATTATACTTCCATTTTACGCCGGTCTTCTGTGGTACTTACCATGTCGTGGTACTTACCCGGACGAGTTTGCCCATTCGTGCAACAGCCCAGGCTGCTGCGTGGCCCTACCACAGTTAGCCGAGGTCACTGCGTAGCCCTACCAAAGATGGTTATATTGTAATCTGATCTTTTTAATAAAGAGGAACTGTCGAGTTTCCTGAAACTCCTGTTCTCAACAGAAACGGCTTTCCGAACCAGTGGTAACTTAGTACAAATCAAAATATAAATTATTATGTAAATTTAGACGTTCCATAAGAACGTGCAAACGTTTATTTGAGTAAATATATTTTGAATTTGAGTAAAGAGAGAAGAAAAGGAGAAGGAAAAGGAAACGGAGAAGTAGGACTGGGAGAAAGAGAGAAGAAAAGGAGAAGGAAAAGGAGACGGAGAAGTAGGACTGGGAGAAAGAGAGGCGAGAGAACTCACGCTGCGCGTCGTTCATGAAGCGCACGGCCAGCTCGTTGCAGACGGAGGCGAGCCGGCGCATCAGCTCGCCCCGCTTGGCGCCCGACACTCGTGCCGCCCTGCGGTAGTGCTCGCACGAGCGCAACATCGCCTCCACCTCGGTCGACGGCAGCGATATGTCTGCGGAAACGGCGCGATAGGACTTCGATCACAAGTGAGACAGGCGACAGCGTTCTTCTTAAATTTACTTTCTTTCTACTTTTTTCTTCTGCCCTCATCCCACCCAGGCGGGGTCGGCACAACATGACAGTCATGTTGTTAATGGTGCCGGCTAGGTGTTGAAGACGGGCTGCCTGCCCTGATCGGGGACGATTACATCATGATCGCGCAAAAGCGGTTCCCATACAAACGTTTATGATATTAGTTATGGTCTTGTGAGCTCAGTTCGCTGCCTGCTGTGGTTCGTGCTATGGAGGACAGCAAGTGGGGTGCTATCCTTGCTTTTTGTGAGGACATAATCACCCGCAAGGAGGCCGCGGAGCGAGAAAGGGAGGCAACTTCCACCCTGTAAATCTGCCGCCGGAGAGCAGGGCGCAGGGGGAGACCTACGCGCGCAACCGTCCCCCTTAATAGCGAGCCCTGGGGTAGCAGATGTGGGACTAACTGCTGCCCCGTGGAGCGATCGAGAGGGGTGCCGTGTCCATTGCACCGACACGGCACCATTTGGCTGGACCGTAAGCACCCGGGGAGAGGAGGCCACAGTCGCGCCGGGGTTCGCGGAAGATTGCGCTTTCGTGTCCCCGGCAAAGCGACAGCGCAGGTGCAACGTGGGTTTTTTAGTGGGTACCCGTGTTCCTAGGGACTCCCACATTGGATCGCCGTCTAGCCACAAGGCGGCGGGGGATACATAAAGGATTTTTCCCACGTTAAAAAAAAAAGTCTTGTAAGCTCAGTGACAAGGCGCGCGCCTTCAATTCAATATACTCGAGCAACCTGCGTTCGATCCCGAAATTGGTGTCGGCACCAACAAAATTGCTAATTTTAAGTGCCGTTCATCACGCGCTCAGCGGCGAGGGAGAAAATGGTGAGGCTTCCGTCGCCACGCAAACTGTGCAGACGAGGCCCTTGCCCAGCAGCGGGACATGTCGCCCCCGCTCACCGATCTCGACTCGTCCGTCGCCACGCAAACTGTGCAGACGAGGCCCTTGCCCAGCAGCGGGACATGTCGCCGCCGCTCACCGATCTCGACTCGTCCGTCGCCACGCAAACTGTGCAGACGAGGCCCTTGCCCAGCAGCGGGACATGTCGCCCCCGCTCACCGATCTCGATTCGTCCGTCGCCGCGCAAACTCTGTGCAGACGAGGCCCTTGCCCAGCGCAAACTCTGTGCACACGAGGCCCTTGCCCAGCAGCGGGACACGTCGCCCCCGCTCACCGATCTCGACTCGTCGGTCGCCGCGCTAACTGTGCAGACGAGGCCCTTGCCGAGCAGCGGGACATGTCACCCCGCTCACCGATCTCGACTCGACCGTCGCTACGCAAACTGTGCAGACGAGGCCCTTGCCCAGCAGCGGGACATGTCGCCCCCGCTCACCGATCTCGACTCGTCCGTCGCCGCGCAAACTCTGTGCAGACGAGGCCCTTGCCCAGCAGCGGGACACGTCGCCCCCGCTCACCGATCTCGAACTCGTCGCTGGCCGCGCCGTCCAGCTCCTCGTCCAGGTCGCGCGCGATCTCGTCGGCGAGGCGCGCGTCGGTCTCGTGCTCCGCGGCCAGCTGGCGCGCGTACTGCTCGCGCGCCGCCCAGCGCCGGCTCAGCTGGAACAGGTTGTCGCCCGCGCGGCCCACCAGGCAGCCGGCGTCCACCACGCGGCTGCGGATGATCATGCCGCCCAGCAGCGTCTGGCACCTGCCGGGGGGCGGGTACGCCGGTGTGTGCCATCACGAAAGCAATGTCACCACTACACAGTATAAAACGATGTCCGTCTGACCGTCTGTCCCCGTGTATGCTTGGATCTTTAAAGGTACGCAACGGATCTTGGTGCGGTTTTTGTCACTAGATACGAGTGGTTCATATGTATAACACATCGCACCCGAGCGAAGCCGGGGCGGGTCGCTAGTTTCGTAATGTATATATCTAATTACGTAAATAGATTGCAAGCATTAATGTTTTCACATGCATAAACATTTCACATTTTAATAGTTGCCCGATCAGTTATTTTAACAAAGAAATTCCACTCTCGAGATGATGAAATGATGACCACGTTTAGAATGTAATAATTAATTAGGCTAATTCCGCCACTGATTTACTCGTGTTAAGAAGGCGCCCTTCCAAATCAGCCGGGCCCCACAGGCCTAAGTCGAGGCCCCATTCCGCCACTGACCTGGCCGCCATCCGGATGTACTTCAGCGAGAAGCCGTGCTGCTGCCGCGTGTAGCTGTGCTCCGCTAGCGTGGCGTACGCGAGGCATATCTTCTCGTACAGCAGCGTCTTGAGATGGAGTTTCCACGCGAAGTTGTCGTCTCGGCCGGGCTCTCGCCACGAAGCTAGGCCTCCGCCCCCACGCACCAGGATCGCGTTGCGGTCTGGCCCCGTGGCCTCGACCAACAAATGGGCGGAGCGCTCGGGCCGCTTCTCGCGCCTCCTCCTCCTCCCCCCTCCTGCCGCCGCCCCTCCCCCTCTGGTGGCCGCCCCTCCCCCCCTGCCGGTGGCCCCCGCCCCCGCGCCCCGCCTCCGCAGCGGCGCGTACTCCATCTGTATCGGCTCGTAGGGGTTGGCCATCTTCGGGTGCTGCTCCTCGATGAGCACCTGCCGCTTCAGACGCTCGCGCTCCTCCTCCTGAGGCGTGGCGTAGGCAAATCGGTTTTAGACGATAGGGTTGGACAGAGTCCCGCAGCTAACTTAACGAAAACGATTAACACGTGATCTGGGAAGTCAAGATTTAAAGTAAATATAATGATATTTGTGCAGTTGAAAGTGAAAACCTTTTCAATTTGCTTTCAAGAAAATTTTTACCCAATGTCTTTAAAAAAACCGTTTCGTAAAAACCGTATTTGACATTTTTTTTTGCATTGAATAATTCGCAAAATTTACTTTAAAATATTATGCCTATTTATGACACTAAATGTCACACATAAACGTATTTAGTGATAGCTAATTGAGTTATCTGAGGGCGACGTTAATAACAATAAAAGAAAAGTTTTACGAGAATTTGTAAAAAAAAAAACAACAAGCTGACTTAAAAAACAACAACAACTTCTAGAATTTTCGTGTAGTAATATATTATGATGACTCGATTCACTCGGTTGGAAGCGATGTATGAAGTGCCTTGTAGTCACGCTCAGGGTGAGTAATGCGTGGTGCGTAGTTATGGAAGTTATGTCGTTACAACGAAAAAACCCTTCGAGAAATAATATACAGTTGTACGGAAGCGACGTATGAAGTGCTTTGTACTCGCGCTCGGGGCAAGTAATGCGTGATGCGTAATTATGGTAGTTACGGCGTTACAAAGACAAAACACCTTTGACAAAAAATATACAGAGATGGACGGAAGAGATGTACGAAGTTCTTTGTGGTCACGTTAATTGGGAGCATTGCGCATGGTGCTTGGGTGTTAGGGGCCCACCTTATCCCTGGCGATGGTGACGTGGTGCAGCGCTTGCAGCCCTTGCAGCGCGTGCCTGAGGGCCCGCCCGCAGCGCTCCGGCACCTCCGCGCCCAGCCCCCCCTGCTCCGCCCCCCCCGCCGCCCCTTCCCCTTCGGGTCCTGCGCAAGCGAGCCAATTCACAACGCACGCCCGGGTTCGGCGAGCCCATTCTGCAGATTACGCTATGATGACGCGACACCGCTTCGCATTATTGCGAATGCAATGGTCAATCGTCATGACCATCAACATTTAAAGAAGAAGAAGAAGAAGAAGAAACGTTTATTCACGGTCTAAAATGAATAAATACAAAACTTAAAAATAATAATGTAAGTACACAGAAACTTAAAATAAATGTAAACATAAAAATAAGCAAACAACAACATGTGACGGTATGTGTAGCAGCATAAGACCGTGAAACGGACGGGACTCGGTAATAGTAGAGATACTGATCCGACACCGGTTTTCAGTCCGGCCCGCACTTCGAGGCAACTCGGATGGCTGCGACCGTGACCTTGCAAAAAATAGCTACAGCGCAGTATAGCAAAAATTAAATTGTTTTTGTTTGAATCTTTCATTAATATAGACAGCGGTTGGCATTCGTCTGATGAGGTAAGTAAAAATTAAAACTAATGTTTGTTTTTAAATATTGGTGTCAGATAGTATATTGTATAGTATATTGTATTATATAGCATTTCAGCCCACTGCTGTGCATAGGCCTCCCCCGTAGACTGCTACGAAGCGCGATCCTGAGCCACCTGCATCCATCGACTTCCCGCACATTTGCACAGGTCGTCACTCCATCTAGTGGGGGGTCGTGCAACACTGCGATGGCTAGTACGATGCTGCCACTCGAGAAACTTTCTTCCCCCAGCTTTATGGCCGGCCCATCGCCACTCCAGCCTTCGCCCTGGTCAATACGAGTCGGCAAATGGGAGAGCCCAAGTTAGCAACTGAGGGAGCGCAGGCTCTTAGCCACTTATCAACCGTCAGCTTCGTTATGGTTTCGGTTTGAGGCAGTCTAGATTCGATGCGAAGACTACAATAGATCTTCTAGGTCGCGGTGTTTGTTTGAACTTCTGGTGGCACTTAAGAGCAAGTCTACCCGGGGCATCCCCATGGCCTTTTGGCAACCAGTGACACTTTTAACGCAGTTTCGTTTCCTCCGGTGATAGTATGCGTACTTGGGCCCACTGTTGGCAGCTTGCCTTCCAACGCCCCTGACGGTGACGACTCAAGAAGTGTCATCACTTCGCTTCCGAACGTAATGATGACTAGGATGTGTGGAAATGACTCTTGTTCTGCATTTGCAAGTCCCCTGGCTGCTAATTTTATACTTAAATACTTTTGTGTAAATACTAATTAAATACTAATTAAAAAAACCAAAAAGATAAGACCGCAGAGTTTCTTGCCGGCTCTTCTCTGGACAGGTCTATGGTTGTTTCTTTACGTTCAATAAGAGCTTAAAATATGCCTATATTGTACAAACAAAATTTTGACTTTACACGCCTAATCCAATCTTTTGAAGCTGGATTAGGCTTCGCAACTCCTCTGGTGTTACCAAAATTGGCGGTGATCGCTTACCATCAGGTGACCTGCGTTTGCCTATTTTTTGGCACAAAAAAAAGTTAGAACAAGGAAATTGAATTAATTTTTCATTAAATGAAATTTCACGAAGGCTCACCGGCACAGCCTCTTTTATGCGGTCCCCGATATGTCTGAGCGCCAACTGCCTCTCCCCATCTCCGGCCTCTTGCGCCTCCTGCCGCTTCGAACCCTCACCTCCGCCCCCTTCCGTGGATTCGTCCTCCTGAAGAAAAAATGAAAGAAAGAAAGAAAATAAATTTATTTACCAGAAAAAGGACAAACACAACAAAAAACTAAATTTAACGAAAAATAAAATATATAAACATTTTAGTAATACTACAGTAAAAAAATAATATATATATATATATATATATATTGTAAATAAAAATTATGAACACATTCATCTATATAGGTTGTATACTCCAGTTGGTGTGAAAGTCCAAATCCTATGGGCAGTAGTGAAAAGCACTTAAAGGAGTCTCGTACCTTTCGATGAAAAGTGATGATTGAGTGTATTATGATTTACAACATTGCCAGCAGGGTATCGAACCCGTTGACTTTGGGGCGAAAATTACGCTGCACACGCTCAAACTTTAGGAACAAATGACACACGGCAAACTTAAGGACAACGTTGAGAAGCCGTTTGAAAGCTCATGCAGTATATGTATGACACTACGTTTATTTAATTGCCGTGATAGCTCAGTGTTAGTTTAATCGAGCAACCTGAATTGAAACACCTGCACAAAATGATTAATTGCAATTTCAACATTTACTTAACTTCAACATAACAATAACTTCAACATTTTACCACAATGTGACGAAACCTGCATATTTTCGAAGTGGTAACGAAAAGTTAAACCAAAAAATTTAAATTTACGAGTGGTCCGGCGTAATACACCCTGTACAGAGGAGGCTTTTGCCCACCAACGGGAAATATATATACTGCTAATTTACTTTTTTTATAGCGCTAAAATTTAAAACTGTTATAGCTCCGAGCGATAGAGCTTTAAAAAACCTACCGCTACTATTGCACCGAAAGTACTTGACTGGCAACTTGTCGAACCAGTCCTAGAGATTGACCAATGACTCCAATGGACAGAGAGAGATTTAATTCTGGGCTAATAGGCGACCTTGTCGGAGTGGTCGCTGGTGATCTCCACCCTCTCGGGGTCGCGCGCCCCGCCCGTTTCGCCGTCTCGCTCGCACATATCGCCGTCCCCCTCCTTCGCGAACTCGGCGCAATCGCCGAAGTCCGCTTCGTCGTCCGTGTCGGAGCTCTCGTCTGCGGATTACCGAGCTTTTGACGTAACATTTTCTAGAAAACTCGAAACGACGATAATTATAATTATATCTCTCTGAATGAGATAGTGCAGTGCCATGATAGATTAGTGTTCAGGCGCTATGCCCCAATACCCTTTATATCTGCTGGCTTTTGCACAGCAGTGAGACTCTTGTAGGCATTACTTTTTACTTTAACTTATCAATGATATTGATAATAATGAGCCGTGATAGCTCAGTGTCGGGGCGCTCGCCTTTAGTTACATTTACTCGGGCAACCTGAGTTCGATCCCCGGTGCCAGCACCAATGAAATTGTTAACTGAATGAAATTGTTAACTTTAAGTGCTGAATTATCACGTGCTCGGCGGTGAAGGAAAAGATCGTGAGGACATACAGGTTGTATTATCAAAACAATAATTAAAAAAAAATGTTTCGAAAAATATGTGAAGTCCGCCAATCCGCGTGTTGGCCTATGTCCTGATACCCTCTTCATGGAGAAGGCCGTTGCCCAGCAGTGGGACATTTATAGGCTGTTACTTTACTTTACCTTTTTATCAATGACACCGTTCATCGCGTTTAATTTGTTTTCAATGGGCGCAATCGCTTAGCTATGGGCTTTAGCTGTTAAGAATATTTGTGTGGAACTCTGATAATTTTCCCAGATCTGGGTGCTCGTTGCCAAGGATTGACGTCAAGCAAGGGACCGGTCGTGCAAAATACTTAGCTAAAACCCATTATTAACATAATGCACATGAAGCACTGACCCCACCTAGATGGACAAAAAAAAACAGAGAAAAAGATCGAACGTTCGATTTCTTTTTAAACTCCCCACGAAAGAAGGCATTTCTTAGCATTGGTGTCCATTGAGCCATGTGAGTAGGTGACAAACGAGTGCGGTTCACCTGATGATAACCGCCGCCCATTGACATTTGTAACACCCGTAGGGTTGCTGATGCTTTGATATTCTTTAATCAAGTGTGCCCCGGCTACCTCACTCACCAGAGACGTAGAAGTTTAACACTTCATTTCACACTCTCGCGTAGCTCTACCGCAGTCTTTCATTACCATACATCGTCTTTCATTACGTTCGTGGGCGAATCTGGAGGTCTGGTCCAACTGCTCGTGCCAACGAACGAACTCAGAGGGGAACATTTTGATGATCCCGTGGCGCAGTTGCCAAAGTATTGACTTCGGCGTCGGGTGTCGTGGGTTCGATTCCCACACGGGACAACTACTTGTGAGACCCACAGACAGTTGTTCCGCATCTGGGTGTTCGTCCGTGTGAAATTTACGTTTGTAAAACGTCCTTACAACACAGGATGACGTTATCCTAAAGTGAGGGCAATGTTTTTTAAAAAAAGAACACAAGAAAGGGACCTTTGAAGTCGGGGCAGGCCGGGTTGGTGGTCGCCGGCACGTAGAGGTCCGCCAGCATGTAGTGCGAGGAGGCCACTATCTGCGGGTAGCTCTCGGCCTTCAGCAGCCGCACCACGTGCTCGAGGAGTTGCTTCACGTGCCGCGAGCGGTTCGTCATCCTCATGTTCCTCGCGACGCGGTACAGCAGCATCGCCACCGGGGTGGTGAACGGGTTGTCCAGCCCCTCGGGGCAGAGGGAGGTCAGGTCGTACAGCTTGACCACGTCGTCGTGCGGCCCCTTGAACAGCCAGTACGTGTGACCCGGCCGGGTCGCGTTCGCCTTGAGGAACGAGAGGATGTTCTGCGCCACGTTCCTGACGACGCGCGGCGAGAAGCGCGAGTCCTCCATGTTGGGCAGGTCCTCGGTCTTCATCGGCTCGTACTTCTGGACGATCCCGTCCAGGTGGTAGCACATGAGCACCTCGGGGACGTTGCACATGAGGTTGTCCAGCCAGTAGTCGATGCCGGTGAGGACGTTGATCGGCTCGCGCATGTCCCTCAGGCGCAGGCTGACGCAGGGCCGGTCCTTGTCCCCGAAGATGGGGAGGTCGCTGCCGACGAGCATGCGGATGTCCTCGAAGGTCCAGAGCACGTTCCTGTTGTGGAGGTGCTCGTTCGGCGGGCCCTCGACCTTCGTCTCCGGCTCCGGCAGGAACGGCCCTGCGGGAGTAATTGGTTAGGAACGGCCCTGCGGGAGTAATTGGTTAGGAATGGCCCTGTGGGAGTAATTGATTAGAAACGGCCCTGCGGGAGTATTTGATTAGGAACTGCCCTGCGGAAGTAATTGATGATGTAACTATCGACCGATTGTTTTACTTGGTCTGATGACGTATGATAGGAACGATTTAGAGTTATAAAAAATTCGATCCAGCATATAAAACTCTTTAACGGTTTCACCGTACTATTTTTCATAAGAAAGTGTGAATATTTTGATTTGCGATTTCACGTTGAATTTATTCTGTTTGAAATATTTTTTTTTATTTATTTATTTATGCATCATTGCTACACTTAAGGCAATGGCTAAATGGGCTTCACTTAATGAAAAAAACTAGAAACTTTTTTGTCTAATAGAGAAAGCCAGTTAAGATATGTTCTCTGATACGGGAGCAAAACAGAAAACTATTGAAAATGCTGGGAGAACGCGTTCTCAAACGAAATGGCCAATGGCACAAGGAATCTTCCATATACGAGCCAAACTGTAACAACGAGTACATGTATGAGGCTAAACACTGTGGGAGGGAGACAGGAAGCTATTCAAACTGCGGCGAGAGCGAGGGGTCAAACGACGAGATGCCCCATATACTCTCAACCATCTACCCATCGCCATCTCAATTTCCCTCCGCCATCACCATCTCCCTCCCACATCTCCATCTTCCTCCCCATCTATATCTCCCTCTCCATCTCTCTGCCCCACCCCTCCACATCTCTATCTCCCTCCCCCGTCGCCGTCTCCCTCCCACCGAGGCGCACCCGCGAGGCAGACGGGCGTGCGGTCGGCGCGCGCCGGAGCCCCGAGAGGCGGCGGGCGCTCCGCCACGCTGTGCGACAGGAACTGCTGCGTCAGCCGCAGGGCGCGGCCGGCCCCCGCCCCCGGCGTCAGCAGCACCCGCTCCTGCCGAGGAGACCACGCTGCATCACGCGGAACCACCTACCATGGACGTAGCCAGGGGAGAGGAGACTTGAACCCATACCCTCGAAATATCCAAAGTATCACAATAACTCCACGACTCCGTGGCTCAGTTGCCAAGGTATTGACTACGGCGCCGGAGGTCGTGGGCTCGATTCCTACACGAGACAACTATTTGTGTGACCTACAGATAATTGTTTCGGATCTGCGTGTTTTTCCATGTGAAATTTATGCATTTAATGTTACCATAAAGGGCAATGTTAAATGAACCAAAATATTACCAATGCATTTTTAAATTAAATAATGAAACTATGAAACGTGCGAACGGATAACAACGAACCATTTAACCAAAAATCGAAATATGTACATGTATGATGTAAAGTACACTTTACTAAGTAATAAGACTAAACACAAAAAAAATAAGTATCCAACTTTCAATTGTTATCGCTTATTCAATTGTTATGCTAATACGGTAGAACCACGCAAAAGATTCTCCTTTTGCACGGTGAGTTTGTCCGGGAAGTACATGTAGTGGAAGTATCCAAACTTTTACATTTCGTCTGGCATAGTTGGCAACGCGTGTGGGACCCCAGAGGTGACAGATGTCCACACGCAGCAGTAATTACTAGACAGCATATAACACACATACTAGTGTACCACCTTCTTATAAAAAAATATTTGTAATTTATATGTATATTTGTAAGTCCTATATACGACGAAAATGCCTTCCTTATTAATGATATTGAATTGAGCATTGATATGTAAACACTGACTGTTATATTCATTTAGAACAGGGGTGAGCAACCTTTTTAATCAATGGGCCAATTTAAATTTCAAATTTTTTTGGCGGGCCGCAAATAATAATTTACGAAACTTTATTTATAATAAATATTAGAATAAAAAAATATAAAATAAAAAAAGTAAAGATTTCATATACAAATTTTAATGCAAGGTAAAAGCAAACAAGAAAAGAACAGAAAAACGTACAAAAAATATTTCGGTTCAGTATATACTACCATTTTATTATAATTAATTTTATAACAATATATTGATGGAAGAAATTCGATAAAATAAATTCAATTTTAGAAATTCTTGGCGGGCCGCATAAACATGTTTAAGGGGCCGCAAACGGCCCGCGGGGCGCGCGTTGCTCATCCTTGATTTAGATTATTAGAGATACATTTTGATGACTCCGTGGCGCAGTTGCCAAGGTATTGGCTTCGGCGTCGGGGGTCGTGGGTTCGATCCCCACATGGGACATCTATTTGTGTGACCCACAGATAGTTGTTTCGCAAATTTATGTTTATAAAACGTCCTTACAACACAGGATAATGTTATCTTAAGTAAGGGCAATGTTAAAAAAAATTTTAAAAAAAACATACCTGTTCCGACATGGTCTTAACAATGTTCTCATAGAAGAAATCCTTGAGCCAGGACCACTCCGATTTCATTAGGTAGTCGTAAACGTCGAAGTCGTCTAGAAGCAGTGTGTTCTCAACTCTGTGAACCATCATGCTGACCTGGTGGCAATATAATATGTCAAAGTCATAACTTCTTTCTTCAATATATGCTCATTTTAATCATTCTCTCATTGAAGGTAAAAAAAACTACCCCCTGATTCAGTAAACTAGACCTGTTCTGAGAAGAACCGGCAAGAAACTCTGCAGTCAGTCTCTGAAGTCTTTTCTTTAATTACATAATTATTAAATTAAATATTAGTAGGGCTTTTAAAAATAGGTATATTATCGCATCATCTATAGGTTGTTACAAACATAATCTAATAGGGCAATCTTCAATTTCGGTTACTGCTTATTTAGTTACACTCTAAATCAAGGTAGATACTAAATTAACTAACTCACAGAAATATTAGAATATGAAGCTAAAGAAGACTTATTATAATTTATTGCATCTGGTTAACACATAGTAGGAAAAGAGAGACAAAATTCAGAACTGAATACTTAATTTCCGTTAGCTACGCTAGCAAGTCCTGCCTTGTTTACGTGCTTACATCGCGGTCAACTTAACTTGTTACCCAGCGAAAAATAATGTTAATCTCATATATAAAATTCTTGTGTCACGGTATTTGTAATTGAACTCCTCTTGGACTCGATTCCTAAACAGTTTTTTCTACCGGATATTTCTGATATACCTATGATTTCTGAATAGATAATGGAGTCTGTTATCAACGGCCAGCTCCTGCGGTACCTAGAGGAGCACCGCCCGATTAGCGACCGCCAGTATGGCTTTCGTCGGGGTCGCTCAGCTGGTGATCGTCTGGTCTACCTTACACATCGATGGGCAGAAGCAGTTGAGAGCAAGGGGGAGGCGCTTGCAGGCAGTCTGGACATAGCGAAGGCCTTTGATCGGGTATGGCACAAAGCGCTTCTTTCGAAGCTGCCTTCCTACGGGCTTCCCCAGAAATTATGCAATTGGATCACCAGCTTTTTGGCCGATCGGAGCATCAAGATTGTCGTCGACGGTGCATGCTCCGATCCTAAATTTGTCAATGCTGGTGTTCCACAAGGCTGCGTACTGTCTCCTACTCTGTTTCTTCTGCATATCAATGACATGTTGCAAATCAGCAACGTCCATTGTTATGCAGACGATAGCACTGTGGATGTCTTGTACACAGGCCGAGCTAACATTTCTCGGGAAAACGTCTACGAAAGTCGGAACAAGCTTGTGACTGAGGTCGAGACTTTGTTAACCAAAGCCTCAGACTGGGGTCGACTAAACCTAATCCAATTCAACCCCAAAAAGACACAAGTTTGCACGTTAACCGCTAAAAAGTCCCCATTTGTCGTGACTCCTCATTTCGAGAACACTCCCCTGTCTGCCACAGCTAGTATCGGAATGCTTGGCGTCGAAATCTCGAGCAACGTCCAGTCCCGCGGTCAATTGAAAGTTAAGACCAAATTGGCCTCAAAGAAGCTTGGTGTGCTCAGCAAGGCGAGACGGTACTTCACGGCTGCTCAACGCTTAAACCTCTATAAGGCGCAAATTCGGCCCCACGTGGAGTACTGGTCTCACCTCTGGGCGGGAGCCCCCTATTACCAGCTTCTTCCATTTGACCGCATTCAACTTAGGGCGGCTAGGGTTATCGACGATCAAAGTCTTTCCGATCGGCTTGATCCTCTGGCTCTGCGTTGAGATGTTGGATCACTCTGCATCTTCTACTGTATTTATCACGGGGAGTGTTCTGAGGAATTGTTTGAATTGATCCCGGCGGCTGAATTCCACCATCTGACATCGCGCCAGAACCAAAAAATTTCATCCACACCACCTCGATGTCTAGCGTTCCACAACAGTGCGATTTTTAAGGCATTTCTTGCCTCGCACAACCACTCTGTGGAACCAACTGCCGCCGGCGGTCTTTCCGAACCGTTACGACCTGGGAACCTTCAAAAAGAGAGCATACTCTTTCTCAAAAGGCCGGCAACGCATTTGTGAGCCTTTGGGTGTTGCAGGTGTTCATAGGCGGCGGTAATCACTTACCATCAGGTGAGCCTCTTGCTCGTTTGCCCCTTTTCTCCATAAAAAAAAACCCTACAAATTCCCTAGACATAATTTATATGGCAGAACAATGTTTGCCGGGACAGCTAGTAATGTATAAATTTATTATTATTTTTATTTTTTTTTTTCTACTATGGCTCCACTGATACGTCAGTGATTTTGCCAACAACTTGGTACTTGGAGATCGATTAGGTTAAGGACATGACAATAATAACCTACTATATTAAACCACTTTCAGTTGCATACCTGTAAAGAGAGGAACAAAACACCTTATTAGTAATTAGTAAGATGGTCATTAGTCAAGGGACATCAGCCATACATAAATAATAAAGGGAAAAAAAAAAGAAAAAAAAGTGAACAGGAACAAAAAAAGGCGAAAAACAAAAATCTTATAAACCAGCTTAAAGCCGTATATTGTTAATTTCTATAAATCTAACTAGAGTTTTAATGAATGGGGAATAGACAAGAGTTAACAGACAACTAACATTCACAGGACGTGCAATAGTGAGTGGGAGTAGGTCATATAAAGGGACTGATAACATAGGACAACTAAAGAATAAATGATCAAGAGTACCCTCATCTAAACCGCATTCACACAAAGACGTATTTCGAATATGCAGTTTAGCCAGAAACACAGGTGAACATGGCCAAGTCTGAGCCTGATGATAATAGATGTAGTCTTTTTGTGATAGCATCTATAACTAAAGAACCAAGGTTTGGTAGGTATAAAAGGTTGAATTAGACTGTAATATTTACACCTTTCACGTCCAATCGCCCGCCACATGTCACCCCAAACCCTTATCATATTATGTTTGGCGGAGAGACGCAGATCACGTACAAAACATTTATTATACTTAGGGGTTCCGAGCTGAATTGCTTCTTTGGCACAGCAATCTGCTTTTTCATTTCCAAGAATGCCGCAGTGACTTGGAATCCATGCTAAAACTACTTGTAGACCAGCACAGTAGCATTTATATAATGCTTGCTTAATTTTTAGTGTTAAGAAAAAGTTATCTTTAGAGTGAAATGGGAGCTTCAAGATATCTTGTAAGCAACTATATGAATCAGAGAATTATTATAGATCTATTTAGTTGATGGGATTCAATATAAGATACAGCTTCTAAAATAGCTATTGCCTCTCCACTAAAAACAGAACATTGAGGAGGGCATTTAAAGTTCAATATAATTTTGTACCTAGGTAACCAGACAGCAGCACCCACATCTTCACCATCAATCAACTTTGAGGCATCAGTGTAAAATGTCATCCAGCCATTAAACTCAGTTTCAAGAATTCTATTAAATTGGATATGGACATTGGGTGAGTTCTTATCTATACCCATCGATAGAATAACCCTAGGCCTATAAACTAGCGCCTCATAATCTACCATAAAAATTGGGTATTTTACAATTTTGAAAACTGGATTAGAAAGGTTATTTTTCGGTATGACTTAATAAGCAGAGGCAAGTCCTTATGTTTCCAGTAAACAGAAGTAGTTGCTATCTGGGACAAGGCATGTAAGATTTTTAAAAAGGGATGATGGCTGTATTGAACTATATTGCATAAATATCTATCAGCAAGATATTGTCTACGTAGATGAAGGGGAGGTTCTAGACATTCAACTTGTAACGCCAAATTCGGGGAGGATTTCATGGCACCAGTGATAATGCGCAGACATTTATATTGAATTTTCTGAAGTTTGTTTAGTGCATTCTTATTGCAAGGTTCTAACAAAAAAAGAACCATAATCGAAATGTGATCTGACAATGGCATTATATAATAATTTTTGATTATAAGGATGAGATCCCCAATGGACACCTGATAAAGATCTCAAAATATTTACACCTTTTTCACACTTATTACTAACATAGTTGAGATGATGTACGCCAGACAATTTAGAATCTAATATAACGCCTAAAAATTTTACTTGGTCTAGTACAGCTACAGGATGTCTATCAATAAACAAATTAATGATTGGAACATGGCGCTTTCTCGTGAATACCACCGCATTGCATTTAGAAACTGATAAAGATGAAACCTTGATTGTCAAGCCAATCATTCAAATAAGCTAATGCAGAGTTAATTTTACCAGCAGCATTATTTAATGAAGATGATACGGCGTACAGAACAATGTCATCAGCATATTGTAAAATTTTACAATAGGGTGTAACGGAGGGGTCTAGATCATAAGTGTACACATTATACAATAGAGGACTGAGTACAGAGCCCTGGGGTAACCCCTTCCACACCAATCTAGATGTTTGAATTGATCCATTAGCATGGACAGAAATGGAGCGACCACTATATAGATTAGATATAAAATTGACCAGTCTCTCAGGGATACTCAGTTGAAGCATTTTATGCCTGAGTATTGGAATCTGGACATTATCATAGGCAGAAGCAACATCCAAGAAAGCGCCGATAGCATGCTGGCTATTACTGAAAGCCTGATGGATACTGGAGACAAAGATACTTAAACTATCCAGTGTACCCATACCTCTCCTGAAGCCAAATTGATAATTGGATAATATACCCCTAACTGGATAATATACACTCTAATCGGTTTTTAATTAAGTGTTCCATAATTTTACATAAGGTAGAAGACAGAGCTATAGGACGATATGATGAGGCTTCTTCTGGATCTTTGCCTGGTTTAAGAATAGGTATGATAATTTGGGTTTTCCAGGAGTCAGGAATACTGCAGGATAAGAAAATAGTATTAATGATTTTAAGAAAGAAAAGGTGACTAGATTTGCTTAACTTGATAATAAAAGAATAGGGCATTCCATCTATGTCTGGTGAAGAGTCACGAAGATGGTCCAGGGAACAAAGCAGTTCAGGATAGGAAAATTCATCATTCATTTTATCTGGATATATAAAAGAATGAGAATAATCCGTAGGAAGGGAGTCACGGAACGGAACATAAGGAGGAGATAATTTACTAATAAAGTTTGGTAACCAACTTTCTGTGTGATGATAAGCAAGACATGAGAAATTATTGACACAAGACCTGCGAAAAGATTTTATACGTTTCCACACCAAGGATGGAGAAGATCGTGGGGACAGAGATTCGCAAAACCTCTGCCAACCTAATTTTTTTTTTTGCTAAGCAATCTTTTGGTTTGAGCACAAGCCTTACGATAAAGTAAATAATTATCCATTGTTAGATTTGAAACATATTTGCTTTCAGCTTCGTTACGAGACTGAACACTGATAGTACAATCCCTGTCCCACCAGGGGGAGAGCAAAGGCGTTTAAGAGAAGTGTTTTTATTGGGGATGGCGAGAAAAGAGACAAATCAATAGCCGAGGGATTCTGTAATGGAGACACTCTCCTTGTAGGTGACCCATCATTTAATAAACAAAGATTTAAATTGTCCAGCATATCTATGATAAAGTGAGATGAAATGTCACAAGCGAGGGAGCCCCACAAAGTATGCTTACAATTAAAATCTCCCATCACTAAGAGAGGAGTAGGAAGAGAGGAAAGGATAGAGCTTAAGTTTGAAATGATGTTAGGATTGGAGTGGGGAATGTAAACAGAAACAAATGATATGTCATTAATTCTAGAGGCAACAATATGGAATTCTGGGGGATGAGAGGGAATATGGAGCTTGGTAAAGGGAATGGGTCTCTTAATAAAAAAAGCACACCCAGCCCAACCATCATACCTATCATCACGCAGACAAGAGTAGCCTGGGAGCCTAAAAATGGAACGAGGCCTCAACCAAGTCTCTGCAATAGCGCAAACTACAGGGTTATATTTGTTAGCTAAAAATATTAAATCAGCCTTTTTATGACGAACATTTATTATTTTAGTTAATTGATAGTAAATAATTAATCATATTTTAATGTACAATTCAAGAGTATATAATTAATTCAAGAGTAAATAATTAATCATATTTTAATGTACAATTCAACAATAAGAAGAGTAAAAAAAAGAACAGAAGAGGTGTATCAATGATAATGCTAATAGAAGAGCCAGACATGGGGAAGAGGAGGGATTTTTGAGTCAGGTACTGAATTAAGTTGACTGGGTTGTACACATATTGAAACAAACATATACTAAAATCTGGCTAGATAACTTATTAAAAAGCAATTAAGTAAATAGGATTATCGGTTTTCAAGTAACTAGTGTTTGAATGGACAGTAAGACATATATATGTGCTAGTACAAGTATTCTATTACTTACAGTCCCATTAGGTTGATACGGTAACTTAAGCAGCTTCTTTATGCATTCTGCGTCTGATATAACATCCACTTCCCCAACACAATCCGGGAACATGTGCGCCATCCTGAAGCTAGTAAATAAATATACCAAAATGTCTAAATTCTGACTTCTTAAAGTGTTTCTAACAAATGTTAATCTTTTATTTTTATAATTAATATATTCATTTAATATTTGTATTGTATTATTTAGTATACGGAATTTTTATTACTTTAAAAATAAAATTTTATAATAAAACAAATGTCACTTTAATCTATTTAAGGTTAGAAAAATTTTCAATCCTACTATGCCAAAAATAATCCATTATTTTCTATTAAGCTCACATTTATATGTAAAAGAAAATATATAAATCATTATTAATTCTTATTTATTATACTATCGTAATAAATAATAAAGCAATATTCATCAGTTAGTTACCTTGATAAACCTGTCCCTCTAGTTAATATTTGTTTCAATCCATAAGAGTCTATAGCAGCACCCCAGTTGGATGGTGGCAAATTGAGATCAGTGTTGCACTGTAATCTCGCATATCTAACGGGACTTTGAAAGGCAGTGTACTTTACAACAGCTGTTGATTTGATACCTGGTGATGGACTGCGGTCCTAAAATCATGATGTGTTACCATATTGGACAATTAATTTAAATAATTTATCATTAGCCAAATTTAGGAATGTTTAGATATTTTAGCAAATGTTAAAAAAGGCTGTTGGTATATGTATATATCAATATATCAACATTGTATAAAAAAAGAAATAGGTTCTGTTAGGTATATAACCATTCATGTAAAATTATAAAAATAATAAAATAGGCAAGGATTAAATTATGTGGGTATTTTTAATTTAACTATTAAAATTTATAAATTTATGCACACACAAAGTAATAATTATAATTAACTTGTGGATTGTAAATTTTATGTTAATACTTTGATATAAACCCTAAATACGGTTCCTAGTTAATCCTTATTTACCTTATTCCTTTTGAGTTCAGTTTCGCTTTCGCAGTCCTCCATTATTTAAGTTCTTAATTCGTCTTCCCTTATGTTGATACAATGACCTTAAAATATTCTAATTTCTAGGGAAAGAAATAAAAAACTTCAATGCGGTAGGTACTTGGGAATTTACTCTTTCAAAATAATAAATAAGCAATATGCACACACAAGGCATGACAGTTTTGACAACAGACAACTGACAGTGTGATGACATTATTGTAAACATACCATCTATAAAATTATAGTCGCCGCTGCGAGACTCGAATCCAGAAATTCCGGATTCGTGCCCAGACGATTTAATTACTAAGCTGCTAGCACAAAATAGGGCAACGACTTTTATCTATTTTTTTTTTTCGTATTTTTCAAGCAATGTTTGGCGCATTTATTAGAGTTACTAGCGTTCCTTTAATCTACAAGTCGTTATGAGAGTTTCGAAGCTATATAACTAACTATAACGGCCGTTTATTGAATATAGGAACCGGGCCCTAGTGATAATGAAACATCATTCTGACGCATTCTGGAGTATTTACTAGTTATTTCTGGATTAGACCTCCGATGACTCGAAATTAAAATTGACGGTTCAACTAGTGGTTTCATGTGATTTTTACGAGTCTGTCTATCACTCCTATCCAGAATAGTTTATAAAATAAGTCGTTATGCCAGACTTTACCAAACGCCGAACAATAATAGCCCCATAAGATTGTCCAGTGAATGGAATCTGTATAATGAAAAGTAAAACAACAACAAAAAAGCCTATTACATACCTGCACCCTATTACATACCTAAACAACAAAAAAGCCTATTACATACCTGCAATTCAAAATATTCTAAAAAGAAAATAGTTTTTGCGGGTGATATAAATATTAATACTCTAGAAACAAATAGTATAACTGATCGGCTTATAGATATAACTAAGATATGTAATATGACGCTGCATATAACGGACCCTACGAGGGAAAATTCATGTATAGATTACATAATAAGCAACGTTGAAGATGCAAAGGCTTATGTTATTTCACTATTTCTATCAGACCATCATACAGCTCAAATAATTGATTTCAAAGTACAATCTAAAAGAATAGTAACGGCATCTTATTTCATTTTAAAACGTTGCTATTCTAGGGAAAATGTACTAAAATTCCAAAAGTCTAGTATTTTATTTTCTGAGGTATATTCTGAATCGGACTTCAACAGAGCGTTTGATCATTTCTATGAAACATTTGAGCTACTTTATAAGTTATGTTTTCCAGTTATTAAAATTAAGTTAAACACGAACCCTCAACTACGTTGGATATCTATAGGACTTAGAAAAAGTTGTAACACAAAAAAAGTTCTTCGTTACAAATATTATACTAAGAAAACAAATATTAATAAATTAATAAATTAATATATAAAAATTATTCAAACATGTTAAGAAAATGTATTAATATTTCAAAGAAATGCTGTAATATCCAATACATACAAAATAGTGACAATATTATGAAAGCAACTTGGCGAATAATAAAAAATGAACTAGACAACAAGACAATATGCCGATATATAGATAGTATTGAACATAATAATATGGTAATAACAGATGCGACAGAAATTGCAAATACTTTCAATGACTATTTTATTAAACTGACAAATAAAGAAAACAAGGAAATTACGACAGCAATATCACGGAATAGGCTACGTAACTCGATCTTCTTAACCCCAATTGACGAAAACTATATTAAAAAACGATAATGTCATTAAAAAATACGAACTCTGAAGGCTATGACGATATAAGCACAAAGATAGTAAAAGCATGCAAAAATCAAATAAGCAAGGTACTAGCTTTTCTAGTTAATTTATCGATGGAGACAAGAACTTTTCCGGAAAAAATAAAAATCTCGGTCGTAAAGCCTTTGTATAAGAAAGGTGAGAAGACATCGATTGACAACTATCGTCCAGTGACTCTCATTCCTGTTTTTTCAAAAAATATTTGAAAAGGTCATGAATGCAAAATTAACAGACTTTCTCAATACATATAATGTAATAGACAAAAATCAATATGGCATCCAAAAGGCTAAGTCAACAACGACTGCCAATTTTAATCTAATCTAAGAGATTTCACTTAAATAAACCAGAAACTGTTTACGACCGGTGTATTTTTTTGACATGTCAAAGGCATTCGATTTCGTTTCGCGCTACTTCTGTCAAAATTGAATCATAATGGTATAAGAGGCCCAGCACACAGTTGTCTGGAATCATATCTAAAAAACAGGAAACAATGTGTTGAAGTGCTTAACCTCAATGAAACAAATATGGTACAAAAACATAAATCGAAATTTAAAATAAATAGATTTGGTGTTCCCCAGGGCAGCGCCCTTGGCCCACTGTTATTTCTACTTTACGTCAATGACATAGCAGGAATAACGAAGTACAGAAGTATATTATTTGCAGATGACATATCGATAATAGTTTCAACACATAAATACCTGACATTATCTAGACATGTAAGTGACATTAATTCTACCATTAAATCGGTAAGTCAATGGTTAGGTGATAATAATTTGATAAATAATTTAAATAAGACACAATATATCAATTTTAACAAAATTTCATTTGACATTAATTATGACGGACAAACTTTATGTAGGGCTAACCATGTGACATTTTTGGGTATCATAATTGACGAAGCACTGAAATGGAGAGAACAAGTAAGGACAGTGTGTAACAAAATCAATAAATTTACTTATGCGCTATATAAACTAAACAAAGTAGCAACAAGGCAAACTGCAATTACAGCATACTTTTCATATGTGGAATCAGTACTCCGATATGGCTTAGTGCTTTGGGGTAATAGTACTGAGGTTAATAAAGTGTTTATAGTGCAAAAAAAATGCATTCGAGCTATTTGCTGCGTTCCGCCACAGACATCATGTAAAGCCCTATTTCGTTCACTAGGAATTCTCCCCCTCCCATGTTTATTTATTATGGAAATGGCTAAATTTATTAAACAACACCAGGAGAGTATTTATGACAAAAATGACACGGCCCCTAAATTGCTACTGGATGGGCAAAACAATCTTTAACAAACTACCTCAGACCATAAAAGATCAACCGTCTAATAAGTTTAAAAAGTGCCTCAGGGAGTGGCTTCTAAAACACACATTTTACTCGGTTAAGGAATTTCTAGATCATAAATAAAATCAGTATTGACATGTTAAAGTACATATTATAAAATCCTGTATCAATTTCATCCATATAAATTGTATTTTTTTTATATCAAATATAACACTGGTTATTAAATACAAAGTAACGCATATTTGCAAGCCATATATTATGGCTGAACTTGGAGGTCAATAATTTTGTAAATCAACTTCTTAATCACCCAGTTTAATGGCAAATAAAGATTATTATTATGGGGGGGATATTCATTTGTTTTCTCGTCTGGTTGGGTTTATTATTATATTATAAAAAGAAAGTACTCCATAATGAGATGCACTCAAAGAATGCTTATGACAACCTTAAAGCTAAACTACCAATCAAAAATAAAGCTTCAATACATGTTTTATTCTTGCGAAATTAAACTACAGTTCTTGTATATGTGTAATCTGTAATTCAGAAACTGCTCCAACTAATAAAATCGTATGTAGTGGGTTTCGAGGGCGATAAATCGTTCTAGATAGGTTTCATTTTTAGAAATCGTCATTATTACTTCTACAATACTAATAATTAGAGTACAAAGGTAAATTTCGCCACCATCTACAAGGTTATAGTAGCTCGGGTGCAAAGATACCTTACATCGTGCAGAGTCTAGTTAGTAAGTGTAAGGTATTTGCTTGGGTGAGAAATCGGGCGGTCCCGAAAACCAAAGACCCCAGTTCGAGTCCAGATGATTTTTCTATCTTTTGTTACTTTTTTCAAGTTTTTTCTTTTGTAAGAAAAAAATCATCCAGGTACTATTCTGTAAAATAAACAGGTATTAAACAATATTAATCGTTAGCGAGTATTAGTACAAATTATAAGGTTTTTATTGTAGCACTGCACTCTATCTGACTATATCTACCGAAAATGCGTAAGCAAAGATTATAGAACAACGCCGCCATCCGAAGCCTTACCGAAGCCGGCCATTTTGTCATTGTTGTCAATTGTATTCGCGGCGCTTCCACTTCGAATCAGCAATATCGGAAATTTTGTGAATTCAGAAGTTAAATTTAGTTCTAATCACTGAGGTGACCTTTTTATTTTGTAAGTACATATATGATAATTTGAAATTTACCCCATCTTGTGCTAAAAATCAATGATTACTCGGCTAGAGCGGGTCAGTCAATTTTTTCAAGTTGCATCATTTTTAATTTTACTCAATACAAATTTATGCTTCCAAACGAAAAAAAATTAGATTATCAATTAGGTGATCGATATAAATGGTATACATATATTGTAAATGTATTAAATTAAAGTGCCGCCATGACGAAGATAGTTAGGAGGACGTGCCATTTTCTTAGTGCTACCTAATTACTTTTAATTGAGTTGTCGAATAATCTATGTTAATAATAATAAATACGTTTATACTTTATAGCATGACGTCTTGCCGCGACGATACGAAGCATGCAAATATAAAAAAAATAAACATTTCGTACCTACTTTAACATTTCTTGGACATAAAATCATTCATATCATAGAAACCATTCTCGATCAATCAAAAGTAAAAAATAAAGTAAAATTTTCTATAACCTTTACAAGGAAAAAGAACAATGGCGAATCGAAGACCACAGAACGGCGGTCGGCGTATGGACTTCGGTCGCAACGATCGTCCCAAGAATTTCGGTCGCAGCGGCGTTTCGCCATGGCAAGGGGCTGGCCCTGGCGGTGGAATTCCCAACCTGCTGCCCCTGCCTGGTGGTCCGACTGAAGCAACACTAGCCCTCGCCAGCAATATTATAAATCTGCTGCAACCGCGTCAGAACCCGGTTCCGTCTTTACTTGACATGCCCATTCGACGCGACTTTAATCCTAACATGGGACGGTTTGATCGTGGCTATGGGCCCAACAGGGTACGTATAAATTTAAGTCTTATCATTCATAAAATGATATCGGTGATATATTTTGTTGTGTGACTTAGTTTCAAAATGTAAATATTCTTCTCACAAAATAGAATTCAATAATTTTGTTAAATTATGAAGTAGTCTGTATCTAAATACAAGTTTCATGTAAAATTAAATATGTCAGTCTTGTGTATGAAATTTCTTTAATAATTTAAATTGTTAGCTGACTGCAGTCCATTTAATGTTAGATTATATTTATCTCTACAATATTACTTGAATACATACGTGTTTCATAGTTGTAAATATGAAATACAAGACATTGATTATTTTTATATCAAGTAAATACAATTAAGGGTATTTTTCAGAAGTTTTATGTTTACATGTATTTTATGAAGGAAAAAAGAATAGTATGTAATCATGTAATTCTCTATTTCTCTATTACTATTTTTATAACAATAGAAAATATTTTCTTTCATAGTTTCATATTTGTTTTATGATTTATGCTATCATATATTTTAGTTTGAAGATGAAATGAAATTATCTTACAAAATACAGTAAATTACTAAAAACAGATCACTTGTTAAGAAAGCTACCATTGTTTCTTTAAACCTGTACTTCTAGATTTACAATGAACCAAATGGTTATATAGACACGCTATCTTGAAGTAAGAGGCTAGAGATTAAGCACCTTTAATTGTTAAAGTTCAGTGACAAAACAAGTTTCTATTGCTTGATTATTTGTTTTGTGCAATTATCACTCTGAATGTCCCATGTTAACGAAATATAATTTTCTTATTTGGGCTTAAATACGCAATGAGAAAGCATGGGATTTCCCTGTTTTCCCATTTGATTGAAGGTGTTCCTGTCTTTCTATTATGGAAAATAACTTTTCACTAAGTAAGTAATTTAATATGAAGTATTTTATGTTTTATATCAGTAATGAATCACATTCTTTGTTTAATGTTTTTATGTACAATGTTTATTATATTCAACTCTTAAAAATATTAAATAGATTCTTATAATATTTGACATATAAAATAATAATTTATTTATATATTTACACATATATTCTTTGGTTCAAAATTTATTATGTTAGTTTATATAACTATTTTTTACGGGGCAGTAGAAATTGTTAACATACAGCAGATTTTCAAAGATTGATTTCATACATATCAGTCATAAAACTTTTAACCCAAATATTTCAACACCCTAGTGTTTGCCGCAAATTGTTTTCATTTCTATAATAATGTTTCTTTCAGGAGTTTTATCCTTTTGTTTTATATTCTTATACACGTCAAATGTCTCTTCATTGGCCGCATCTTCATTGCGACCTTATGCATATATCTTCTTGTATTTCAAATTTCAGCATATCTTCGTAAGGCTCCGTAGCCTCACTGTTTCCATACTAACAATAATCCAATTCCCTTTAGATGGGCAATCAGGGTAATTTCCGGCGTACGGGAAATTACAATCGCGCTGGTGAGCGTATCAACATGAATCGTAAGCCGTTCAGGCCCAATGAAGGGCAAAGGCAACAAAACAAGAGTTCCCCGAAAAAGGAGGTCGATTCAAAGGCTAAGCCTGTAGAGAAGAGGTAAGGAACAGTGACCGTTCCCTTCCGGCGGTCAAGCCGCATCTCTGACGCCGCTGCGGCGGATGCCCCATCACAATAGTCTCCCTTGGCGCGTCATATCTTTTCGAAGCGCGCATACGTTCACCGGCCTCTTAAAACTTTGGCCACATTGGCAAACCACTCTCTGCCTCCGCCACAGAGGTACGAATCGAAAATCTAATTTTTGTGTAACAAGCGAGCAAAACATACCGTGAATCCATTCTCGACGTCGGTGGAGTTACTACGTCGAATGACATTGGACACGCTTGATGAATAAGATTTAGTTGAGGTGATTAATCACTGGTTGTCTTTGACTAACATGTTATAAACATTACTTTAATTGCACCATTGCCAGTTTTGAGAAATTCACTGATATCCATTCTCTTTGTCCACTTACTGATTTCATGATTCCATTTTAATGTTCTTGATTTCCATTCTAGAGTAGTTAAAATATCTTTTGACCAGTAGATTTTCAAGTCCGTCATGAGTAAATCTCTCACGATGTTTGAATAAGAGATTTTATAACAATAGACAGAATTTCAATATAGACTTGTCAATTAAGCTACAACATTAGATATTTCTTTTCGGTTTTGATTATACACTAACACATCAAGTATGCTGTAGTGAGCAAGATCAAGAGGAAAAAGAAGAGTCTGGAGAGAAGGGAGAGATTAAAGAAGAGCAAAAACGGGACATCCCCAAGACCCGCTATGATGACATCAATTCCCAGCTATTGAAATGTCATATCTGTAACAAGAGTATGTGGGATGGCCGATCGTTTGAGAATCATCTGAGTGGAAGAGCACACGCCATTATGCTGCAGAAGACTGCAGAAAGCTATGCCCTCACAGCAGACACCATGAGACAAGAGTTCAAGGTAAGGCATTAACTATGACAACTAGAGATGGGTCGTATCGCTTTTTCTGAGTACCGTATCTGAATCGGATTTCGATTTCAAATATCAGATTTCGAAACTATGTATTTTAATATCTACATATTTTACGGTCCCGTATCCATCTTGAATTCTAAAAAAAACAAAAAAAAAACGAGTATTTAAAAGTTGATTCATTCTATGTACATCATTTTCCTGATATTTAAAACTTAACTTATTTACAATTATGTGTGGGTTAATAATTATTTACATTCCTCCGGGTTTAAATTCACGTTTACGAACGTAAGCTGTTTGACTTTAATCGTCGAAAGTCTTGTTCGACGATCATTATAACTATACATAACTAAAGCTATTGCCAGTGATACCAACTGTTCAAAAAGAATACTTCTAAATAAATTCGAAAACCCACTAAAATTGACTAAATTCAAAAAACTTACTGAATTTAAAATCACGATTTTTTATACTATTAAGATAAAATTAAAACATTACCTGATAAAATTAAAAATTTCATTAAAAATAGAAATTGAAGTAATATAAAAATGATTTATTTTAACATCTTATATATCGCTTAATAATTGACTTTAACATATTTTTAAAACACGCAATCATGAGTGACAATATCTTTATAATTTGTGTAAGAAATAATACATTCAGTATTATAACTTAGGGCGGAAGAATTTAAAATATACACACAAAGCACATAAGCCTTGGTCTGATTTCCATCCAAGCAGCACAGCACAGTACTTTTATTTTTTTCCAAAAATATGAATAAAATTTAACTAATAAAAATATTCACAAAAAATTTACCTCCTAAAAAATTTCCATTTATATTTTTCTTCCTTAATTTATGCAGAAAATTCTTAAGTAGTAAGTTGGCATCCCTAAAGGCCCATTTACACGATGCCATTTTCTTGTACATACAAGAGCAATAATTGAATGCAATAAATTGCGCGCAATAATTTGTTAGACCATTTTTTGTTTAGACCATGCAACTCATTTATTGCTTCAATTTAATTGTATACAACAGGCAAGAAACTTGCACCGTGTAAATGGGTCTTTACTATTACGTGCTTGGTACCAATGCAATCCAGCTCAAGACTAAACAAAATTTAAAGACATCGTTAATACCGTAATTCGTATTTAAATGCAACAGAGATTTTTTTCCATGCTGTTAAGATTCAAAATTACTTAACTGCGCGCTTTGTCGCCCGTTACGGCTCAAGGCTAAACAAAACAATAGAAATATAATAATATCGTTGTAGTAATCTTTGATACCATGATTAGTATTTAATTAAAACGGATCTTATTTACATGGTGTTAAGATTCAAAATTACTTAACTTATTCATAATATCTGTTTAAAAATCTGATATTGTGCCTTGCTTGCCATACTGCTCTAACTAGTGTAATATTTGTATCTCACGCGCTTTGTCTCTCAAAATCTGTTTAAAAATCTGATATCGTGCAGTGCTTGCCGTCCCGCTCTAACTAGTGAGTATTTATATCTCACGCGCTTTGTCGCTCGATATCTGATATCGTGCATTGCTTGCCGTCCCGCTCTAACTAGGGAGTATTTATATCTCACGCGCTTTGTCGCTTGATAGCTGATATCGTGCATTGCTTGCCGTCCCGCTCTAACTAGTGAGTATTTGTATCTCACGCGCTTTGTCTCTCGAAATCTGTTTAAAAATCAGATATTGTGGCAAACGCGTATGATATCGCGATTCGTGTCGGTATAGCGAGCGAGCACGGTACATCAGATTTCGGAAATATCAGATATTGTAAAATACATAGATATTGAACGAGCCAGTAAGCGATATTCGGATATTGTACTAATATCTAGTTTTCATATCTGATACGATTTGTATCGCCCACTTCTAATGACAACATTTATAAGAAGCCAGTCAATCTTTTTAGAGAAGTTTAAGTAGGTGATTTGATTGTCACATTACAAAAAAAAGTGTTTTTCCAATAAGTAACAAAATACTGTGGACCCCCGGTAATCCGACAAACGTTTTGCAGGGCAGTATAGGAACAATCGAATTTGTAGGATTATAATAAGTAATGCCTTGATTTTGTTTAAAAAGTGTGCGTTGTAATTACAAATCAAAATGATAACATTCTATCTGAACTACAAATCATACTACATATGTGTGTCGAATTTACTAAACAAAACACATCTAGTGTAATGGTAATGCACTGTAGTGGTAATGCAGTGTAGTGGTGGCATGTACAAGTTGCAATCAAACATCTGTCATGCATTACCTACATTAATTATGATTTGCCAATATAATGTTCGTTTACCTACATTCAACAAATACCTACAGTGATAGACTTGTCGGATTATAAGGGGCGCCGGATTAGACAGGTACTGATACAGATACTGATATACCACTTCCTATTGAAGAATATAAATAGCTTTATTTTAAAAAGATCCGCGAAATGAAACGCACAAGGAAGATCGGCCAGCAGCCGCCGCGCGACTTCTACTGCGCCATGTGCGATATGTACGCGGCGGACGGTGCCATCCACCGGACCACGGTGGGCCACCGCAAGCTGAAGAAGTACTTGCACCCCACGTGCACGTCCTGCCACAAGGAGATGCCGACCAGGATCGAGCTGGACGAGCACCGTCTCACCGCAGAACACCTCAGGAACATGCAGGACAAGCAGGAGATTGTCTCGAAGCCGAAACCAGAAGGTGAGACCATGAACTCGTCCGAGTGAAAGGAAGCAGTTGCTAAGAGTTGCTATTTGGCACTTTTTTATTGTGAGAAGGTGGCAACATTGTCATTAATTTCAAAATTTTCAATCAACTTCAAAAATGGGGAAGTTGTTCATTTGGTTATATGTTTTTATATATTTTTTTGTTTGTTATATTAATAGTCTTATATTAATAGTTATGTCTACAAATGTTAATGAAATCAAAAATTTCCCCACAGTAATGTTGATTTCCACCCTAACAATGGAGCAGTCATATCTTCGGGACGACCGTGAGCGTTGGCGCCGGCCGGAGCGTCAGGACAAGGAGAAGGATAACGAAGTTGTTGTCAAGGAAGAGAGAAAAGACGATCAGGTATTTAGACACTACTAATAGGTCACATTTTTACACAACATTCTCCGACTCGTCCCAAACTAAGCAACGCTTGTTCTATGGGTACTAGATAACTGATTAACATACTGTTTTGTAAATAATTACATATTTTACATATACCCAGACACTGAAAAAACATGTTCATCACACAATATTTTTCCAGTAGTGGGGACCGAACCCACACCCTCTGGCACAAGAGGCAGGGTCACTACCCACTACGACAATCGGGTCGTCTATTTAAATTAAATTAAAAACATTTCATCTATTCCCTATAATCCTGATTGATTTTATAATAGCACTAAATTATACTACTATACAGTGTGTCTTTACCATCGCGACAATAAATGAACACACATATAGAGAATAACTTTTTGCAATTGTATTAAACATTTACATTCTTTAAACATCAATATTTACAGAGTTATTAAATTTTACAAAACAAACAATTTTACAACACCCTTACGTATAAAACTAACGTAAAGTTCATTCGTAAAGGTCACAAAGCATATGAATGGGTTGAATGAATTTAAAAGAGACAAAACATACTGTCAGAAGGAGAGGCTTGTAATGCGACACTGTGGCAACAAATGAAAAAGTCTCTGAATTTATGAATCAGTCAGTTGTAGTTATATAGGGGATGTTACAAATTTTGTTTCTTTTTTACTTAATTAGTTTTTTGAAAAAATACTTTTTTTTTAATTATGGATTTTTTAACGTTAATATTTTTTATGATTATTGGCAAGTAGCGTTAGAATGTGTTCATTTATTGTCTCGATGGTAACGACACGCTGTATAGGCTTTATATGAAAAGGTGGCAAAATTGCTGGTAGTTGCAACGCCCGTAAGGTTGCATATGCGTTGCTACGTTTTAATAAAATACGCCCTAGCTACCTCTCTCACCAAACGAAATGCAAAAGTATAGTATTTCTGTATAAAACTGTATTCAAATACTCCATATATATTTATAGGTATCGGGAGGGCAAAAAGTCTTGCTTCCACTCAATGTTGGTGAATAGTCATATTTTTGTTCCGGTCCAAGCACTCGGTATATGTTCTAATGTGCTAATAATAAAGTAATACCTCTTGGAGCCACTTGCGCGCAATTTGCCTTTGCCTACCCCATGAGCAATTTTGAAATTGCATATGTAAGTGACATAAGTTATTGTCTGTGTTATTATCACATATTACTAAGGATGTCCTATTTATTTTCAGGATGAGTCAGAACAGAAGATTGAGGCCGATGAAGATGCAGAAAAGCAAGGCGAAGTTGAGGTAAAGAAAGAACCAAGCGGTGTTGATAAAGATAACACTGTACTCGACTTCAAGGAGGGCGATGATTTATCCAATGTTACACCTGAAATGTTGCCTGTATATAGGTGAGTGATTTTTTTAACTTTTTATATCTGCCATGTCATTAATTTCAAAAATAGTCTTTTTAATAGCTTATGTAAGTAGCTAAGTTTTTACAAACTAAATTATCACATTATTTTATAAATTGTTTCCAACTTTCTATCTATTTGAGTGATATATTATCACATACTCAGCAGTAATGGAAAAAAGGTGCAGGAGTGAGGAAAGCATATTTTCGAAATAATAATAAAAAATATATTTTGAAAATATGTGAAGTCCGCCAATCTGCTGTGGGGCTGCGTGGTGGACTATGCCATAAAACCCTCTGTATAAGGAGGCCTTTGGCCAGCAGTGGACCATATATAGGCTGTTACCTTACTACATAAGTAAACTGCTTTATGTGAAGCTCTTCATACACTTAAGTACTTTTTAAACCCTGGCTCTCAGATCTTCACCCAACTGCGAAGTTATTGTTTTAATGATTTTTATTCAAAAGACAATTTCGTTTCAGTACTGAGCGTGGTGTCGGCCGTTCCTTCCTCTCGGAGTTCCGTTGCGTTCAGTGTCACTTGTGCCACAAATTGCTGGACAGTGAGGAGACGGCAGAGGTCCACCTCAGGACTTGGAGGCATCACCAGCTGTTCCTCCGTTTGATTACAAAGTCCAATACCCAGGTATGAAATTATTTTCATTGCTGCAATATAGTCAGCATACCTTTGCAAATACATTTTTAAATATTGCCCTTATTATGAGATTAACATTATCCTGTGTTGTAAGGAACATTTTATATTCATAACTTTCATGTGGACAGTTACCCAGAATCGAAACAATTATCTGTGGGTTGCACAAGTAGTTGTCTCTTGTGAGAATCAAACCCATGACCCGAAAGGCGCCGAAGCCAATACCTAGGCAACCATGGAGTCAATCAAATATATATATTTATACAATACAATGTGGTGCTACTAACGTGACCATAAATTAACACAAATAGAAAATAACTTATTAAAATTGTATTAAACATTTACATTCTTTAAACATCAATATTTACCGAGTTATTAAATTCTGTAAAACAAACAATTTTAGGACACCCTTATGTATAAAACTGTAACGTTCATTTGTAAAGATCAAAAAGCATATGAATGGGTTGAATGAATTTAAAAGAGATAAAACATTTTTTTTATGGAGAAAAGGGGTAAACGAGCAGGAGGCTCACCTGATGGTAAGTGATTACGGCCGCCCATGAACATCTGCTACACCAGATGGCTTACAAATGCATTGCCGGCCTTTTAGGAAAGTATGCTGTTAGAAGGAGTGATTTGTATCGCATTACATGCTGTGGCAACGAATGAAAAAGTCTCTGAATGTATGAAGCAGTCAGTTGTAGTTGTATAGGTGATACAAATTTTGTTTCTTTTTTATTTAATTACTTTCTTTGAAAACTATTTTTTTTATTATGGATTTTTTAACATTTACATTTTTTATGATTATTGGAAAGTAGCGTTAGACGTGTGTTCATTTATTGTCGCGGTTGTAACGCCACGCTGTATATTAAGAAATGTTTTCGGTGTAATTTATACATCTTAGAACCCACTTACTGAACATATAAAATATTAATGTCCCTTTTCAGTTGCAGTCTACCCAAGAAGCTGGTAAGCGGCCAAATAACACCGAGGAGTCTGGCAACTGGAAGCGTCGCAAGACATCGCCTGATGGCAATGACACCGAAGACGACCATGACATTGAACAAGAGAATGAAGGAGATAAGCATGAGCAACAGAACGGTGAAGATAAACAAGCTGCTCCTATTAAAGGTGCGCATTTTACTTTATTATATATTTATCTATTTTTTTATGTGGGAAAGTGATAAAAGAGCTGACGGTCCACCTAATGTTAAGTGATACCCTTGCGCATGGACGTAATCAACACCCAGGTTGCAGATGCGTTTATACTTTTTAATACAGTCGATTTATGGATGTTTTTTTTTTGATTGTAAGTTTAACAAAGCGAGAAGTTAAGTTTGAAAAAGCGAGATTTTGCTTAGAGAAATAATTATTATTATTTAAATATAAGTATTAAAAAACTGCCTCTAAATGTCCCATGCTTGGGTAACAGCTTCCGCCATATAGTGTTCCTTAGTATGGATGCACATGAATCTATTCTGTAATTGTGTACTTAATTGTTATTATTTATTCCATAAAAATGACAATAATGAATGAAAGAAAACCAAGCTTACTAGTAATAGCATACAACAACCTTTAAAATATCACCTGTTGTTTAAAAAAATATATTTTTGTTTCAGAGGAACCACAGGAGACGGGTGATTCAAAGGCACTTGGAGATGAAGATGTGGACATGAATACAGGAGATGATGATTTAGAAGGCTGGGAGCAGTCTATCGATGAGATACTGAATGATGAAAATGCCCAAGGTATATTAATGTATACTTTGCCATTTTGTAAGAGCTACTTGTTGTGTTTAAAGACTAACGCCCGGTTTCTGAAAAACTGATCATTGCAGAAGTTAACTAATCAGCTGTCAAATGTTATTTAAGTTGCCAAACTTTTTGATTTTTTGGTTTCATTAGATTCAATTTTTTAAGCATAGAAAAAGATAATACATTAATTCATACTGTTATTATAAAAAAAATGGATCATAAAATGTAACAATAAAATATTTTATAATGTACTTTAAAAATTAGTAACTTTCTAAACTATCAAAATTTTTAAAGATCTGTGCAATCAACTTTATTTTTGATTAATTCCTCTTCAGCTAAGGCAATGAATGATATTTTGCCACTTGGACAATTGCATGGGCATATTAATCTTTGCTATTTTTGGTTCTTCATTAATAAATCTGTTATCCAACTACCTTGATTGTGGCTAGGATTAAAAAAATCCTTGTGTATGTAGTATAGTGTATAAATTGAAAATACATTCACTACTAGCCAGTGTGTTTCCAGTTGTTTATTATCCAATTAGTTGGTGGATTAACTTTCTGATTTCTAGAAGAGAAAGAGAAAGAAGCGAATGAAAATCCAGAAGAAAAGATAGAAGAGGCACCGAAGGAGGAAGAGAAAGCCGCGCAAATTGAAGAAGGGCCACCCCAGCCTGCATCAACGACAACCACCGCACCAACTACACCAACTGCAACAACTACAACACCTGCAACAACTACAACAACTGCAGACGATACAGAGCAGTGGAAACCTCAACAACGTGGACGAGGAAGGGGCCGGCGCCGCTATTAACTATGAATTCCCCCCGAATCCTCAAAAGCATTTGAGAGAGACCAGCGCTTAGTCTTCACACTGTCAGGGAGTCTGGACATGTGCAACATTTTTAATCTCACACTTATTGAACTTAAAATCGAAATTTTTATCGATCTTTAGACTATTAACTATTCACATAACTAGAGTCATAGGTCTAATTATGATGCCATGATAATATAGATTTTTAGAATAACTATATGTCAATTCCTACAAGCTTAATAAACATATAGGAAATGATTGTAAAACCCAAATGCCATAATGGGAAAGTAACTCTCTAACTAGCAATTGTAATTTCAACATAGATATGTTCTCGTGTTTGATTTCCATGTTTCCTTTGTCATATTATTATTTAATATATTGAAACTTGTACTGTATTCTAACATTATTTCCACATCTCTCTTATTCTCATTTAGATTGTCAAATCACTAGTGAATCGCTAGTGAATGTGGTATCAACAAGTTTGTTACATCTAATATATAAAATTCTCATGTAAATGTTGAACTGGTCCACCCCAAACATTTTTTTCTACCCTACAAATAATTTATATGGCAAAACAACATTTGCCGGGTCAGCTAGTTATATATATATATATATATATATATATATATACACACTATAGTGTAATTCTTGTGGGATTATTAGATGTTTCACATAGCATAAGAACAATCTAGATTAAATTGTGTCTATTATTATAAACACGACATGAGTATCTAAAATAATACTATTAGTATTTATTACATTTTATGTATGTTGTTTATCATTCATTCAATGTAATACATATCCAACTATTATTTGGTCAAATCTATAAAAAAACTATTTAAAACTTGCTACTTTGGTAGGCCAAAAAAGACTAAAATTTAGGCATTTTTAGGATATACTTCATGTGACTATTATAATTTTAGCTTAATGTTATACGGCATAAATATTTCTAATAATAATCTGCAATAAAATTACTTTAATGTTTTGTAGAATTAAATGTAAACATTAAAATTTATTATAGACAGTTACTAGAAAGTGTCATTTATGGGAATATTTTATTGACAAGGTGAATATTTTTCCGTATGTAAGAGTTGCTTCTCGCAAAATCTTGAAGAAAATAATAGGTAACCAAGAGTAGTATGTAGATAAACTAAGGATTCTGCAATTCAGTGTTTGCCCATAAGAATTTTAGAATCAATGTGTATTACATCAATCTTTTCTTAAAATAGCTGTCTAAATAGAATCTGTAGCATGTAAACAAAAACGGAAGTACTGGACGAAATACATGTACAATTTCTGCAGTAAATCTTGCAAAAATAGTTAATTCGATAGATATACTTGCTTTATATGAAATATATGTTACAACATTAAATTGAATTTTTGCACTATTAATTAGTATAATTCTACTGGTACCACAATTAGGATGTATTTGTAAGCTTTTTGTAGTGTTAATGTCAGTAAGAACCATTTGGTTCAGTTTTATATTACAATATTATATATACATTTTGCCTCTTTACCTTACAGGTATTAGGTACTTATTTATGAAGATCTTTTGTGAAATTAATTTTTGTAATTCTCATCAATAGTTTTGTTTTTAATTATAATGAATTCAGATTGCATTCTAGATTTACTTTAAAATATGTTTTCCATAATTAAATATAAATGCAATCTGAAAACAATAACAGTTACAAGTTACAAGATTTCCGTGAGTTAAATAGTGAACATAGCAAGACTAGATTCCTTGATAAACATTTCCAAATCATAATAAGATGGTTTTTGTCAATCAATAAATATGTATTTAGAAAATAAATGCATAATTATGCATGGTGGAGTTTTATTATATCACTCTTAGCTTCAATATATTACACCCTTAGTTACATAACAATGTTACATATATAGTTATGACTCAGTGGTATAACATACATACATTTATAGTTAAAATTACATATAAAGTTAATGGCCGTTGATAAACTATTGGCTTCGGCATGTAGTGTAGTAGGTTTGATTCCCACATGGGACAAGTATTTGTGTGACCTACAGATAATTGTTCCCCATCTGGGTGTTTGTTTTCCAAGGGCTGACTTCAGGCAGGCGTCGGTTGTAAAATTCATAGCCATAACCGCTTAAAATATGATTCACACATACCAACCCTACCTAAGATGGGATAAGATCAGATGGATTCTATAATTATTTTTGAACATATATTTTAACATAAATATACATATATAGTATATACGTAATTTAAGTCTTTCACTTGATTAAACACAAAATTAAAAGTAAACTTATGGCTAAGGTATATTATACAATCGCGGAATAACTACAATGTCAATGTGTGGGGTTGATACAGGCTAAAATAAAACTTATACCTGTCCTATTATATTGTAAAGTAATTGTTTTAAAAAAGAGTGATTGTTGAATTTCTTGCCGGCTTCTTCTCAACAGAAACTGCTTTCCAAACTGGTGGTAACTTACAACTATTAAGTTCTATGTAAAATTTTAACGTTTCTTAAGAAAGCGCAAGACTATGTCAATAAAAATATGTTGAATTTTTGAAAAAAATTAATGAGATTCATAAAAAAACATGTTACAAATAATTTTGTTAACTTCTATAAATGCCATTGAAGTATAAGAGTTGGCTTTTCATTCATACCTACTTTCGAGCTTTGCCGTAAAGGAGGAAAACTTTGGTGCTCCCTTAATAGAAAAAAAATAAAGCATATTTTGATTGAACATTAAAAATAAATTATAAAACAAATGGCTATTTAAATATATATTTGTCCTTAATGTCTAATTAATTACTTTTTTTCTTCATTAGCTTTAAAAGTAATTTTGTGTCATTCAATTGTGTTTGTTTTCGTTTTTTGAGTTTCTCCACAGATTTTACTTTAGGTTTAGTAACTTTTTCCTGAATAGTGACTTTCTTTTCGGGCTTTTTGGCCAACTCATTTAACAGCAACTCGGTTTTATTGATATTCTTCACCAAATTGTTACTTTTGACAGTTTCTTTCAGCAAAACTTCTTTTTGGAATGAAACTTTCTTCTCAACGTTCAATTTTCTCTTGATAATTTTATTTGTAGTATTACTTGTCGGGACATTTTTATTTTTTGTAAGTTTGTTCAGAGCTTTGAATTTATTTTTGCCAAACTTCACCATTTTTATATTTTGCACTTTAGAACATGTTATTATGTTAACAACAAACAGAAACATCTACTTTTACAGGGATTCACGACAAAACAAACACGTGTTTACCTAGTAAATTAATAAACTGACTGACCGACCACAGATCACAGAAACGTACGCTAGGGAGTGACACTAATAATAATTTTATTAAATATCCATATTTTTAGTAGATACATTTTGATCCGTTATATTGATATAAAATATTCAATATCGAAATCGTATCAAAAACGATATTTTTTTCAAATTCGAATCCGGGACAGAGTTCGTAAATGCAAATTGTTAATACTTGGTAGCGATGTGCGACTCGAGTTATTTGACTCGAGTAACTCGAGTCAAACCTTAAACGAGTCAACTCGAGTTTAGCTTTAAGCAACTCGAATCAACTCGGTCGTCCGAACGCAAGCCGGACGTTATATGCGGCGGCCTCACGAGTTGTTCCGAGTTACACACGCGGCTCGCGCGCGCGGTTCGTTAGGCGTTGCAACTCGCATCAACTCGAGTTGAGTGAAATGCAAAGTTACGTTACACGCGCGGGCGCCGTTCGTAAGGTGTTGCATCTTACTCGCATCAACTCGAATAGAACTCGGGTTGAGTCGGGCTCGTTCGGCTAGGATCGGAAACGGAATTGCGCAAATGATAGACCGCTTTAAAAGTTTATTTTGTTTTTTGGTTGACATTTTGTTATTTGATTTTATTAGTTGGCCGTTGGCGATCCGAGTGCGAACTGACATTTTTGATTGGTTAGTGATCTGTTTTGTTTTGTTTGTAACGACGTCAAATAACAGAAGTGTGGCGTGGGAATTCTTTGCTATAAAAACAGAAACTTTTTTAAACTTTACTTTCGATAAGCAATCGACTATGTACAATCATGCTATGGCAACTTAGAACTACTTCAAGAAAATTTCGGAACATCGTCATCTGGAAGACAAATGAAATACTAAAATACATAGTGCTGCCACTATAAAATATAGTAATAAATCCTATGGAGATTTTACACATTAAATTAATATATAATAATGTTTAGTGAGTTACAAAGAACAAAAAAAAGAGATATTTAAATAAATATTTATTTTCATCTACTTCATTTCTTATTTTAAAGCAAATTTAAGCAAATTTTGTTAAGCAAATTTTGTTAATAAAACCTTTTAAATGCGGGGTGGTTGCTCTGTTTGATATGGCAGCATCACTTGAAAAATTAATGACAATTATTGTTGTTCACTGTTATTTTTTTGATATTTCGAATCGTGCACACTACACAATTTTATTATAAATTGTGATACCGTTCGTTAATTTCCTGACCAGTCAGATAACAGCTACCGATCGAGCCGAGGTCCGGCCCTCTCAGGCACCCTCGAATCGGAATGCTAAACGCGTGCTGAGTGACAGCCCAAGCCGAGGTCCCCTCTCGGGGACCCTTGAGCCAGATCACTCCATGGAGCCCCCGCCAAAGCGCCCTAAGAGCTAGGCGGCCTCCCAAACCGGTGAATTAAATAGCGTGACGGCCCGAGCCGAGGTTCCTTCGGGAGCCCTCGAGCTTAGTCACCATAACGCGTAATAGTAAATACGCGAGGTTCAGGCTAGGCGCCTCGTGCGCCAGGCCACCTCAAGTCCGTCGGATCTGTAAAGGCCCCTAAGGCCAACAGTGGCTCATCCAGCCAAAAAAAAAAATCGTCGAAATAAAATGCACACTAGTTCAAATTGATTGTAAATTTTGTCTTTGCAATCCCAACCGTCGGACACTGTTCGAGGTCGAGGTGTATAAAACAAGGAGAGGATTAGTTCAGACCACAAACGAAGTTGCGAATCGAGCAGCCAC